TGGCGTGGGCTGGTCCATGAGGTCACGAGGAGTTGGAACGAATAAACAACAACAACATAAAGGCAGAAAATACCACAATATCTGCTTTGAATTGGGTTATCCGAGTCCACACTCAGATCATATTCTGGAATATAGGGCTGTGTGGAAGGGCCCCCCGAAGAACAGCTGAAGGCAAACAATACATAAAACAGTGTGTTGTCTTCATCTGCCTGGGTCATTCGCTTCCTAAACTGAAACTGGCTCTAAAAATCCATCATTTTGAATATAAATATTTTATGGCTTCTTGCAAGGCTCTAAAGGTGCATCCAGATTAGTTTAAAATCCCATGTTAATATTCAGATGCTTGGAATAAATCTAGCTTCACCTTCCTGCAGAAACGCCAATATTTCCTTGTTCTCCTGACCCCAAACTCAGTTTTCCATACTTATTTCTGGACTTCATTCTCCTGATCTACAAAAAGGAACTGCAGAACGAAACAGATTTCATTGGTGGGAAGAATTGAAAGAAAGACAAAGTACTGTTTCATTGATGTCAATGCTGTAAGCTTTCCCAATCTGCCTTTTCCCTCCTAGGAGGAAATGAACAAGTGTGACAGCTCAAAGGCCCTAATTGAGATGAAATGTCCCAAAACACATTGCCAATATCCCTGTTCCAGCTGGAACTACTCTGCTCTTGACAGATAGAAGGTTTGGTATTGCACTTCCAGCCATTTTCAAACTGAGTAGACCTGCAGGTCTGTTTAAGATCTTTTTACATCACCTCTATCCCCATATCAAATAAAAATAATCAGAGTAGTACAATACCAGTTTTTTTAAATATATATATTATTTGCAAACTTTTAAAAGAAATCTAAAAATATGCTTAAAATGTGTCTTGAAAACAGATGTTGTAAACTCCATATTGGCTGCTCTTGCTTGACTGTATGGAGTGCTTTGTCCTTGCATTCCCAGGGTCCTTCCACATAGCCATGTAACCCAGAATATTAGGTCAGAAAATACCTCAATATCTGCTTTGGACAAGGTTATCTGAGTCCACACTGCCATATAATCCAGTTCAAATCAGAAAAAGTGGGATTTTATTCAGCTGTGTGGAAGGAGCCCCTGATGCAGGAGTGAAATGAAGTGCAAGTTTTTTTTTCCTCAGGAAATTGATAAGACTACATTAGCTCTAGTTTCTTAGATATGGGAATCATGATTTTCTATGGGCAAGTGTTCTGTATTGTTATCTCAAAAATTAGAGCTGATAGGGTGACATTTGTTGGAATTAGCAGATCAAATATACCCAGAGATGGCTCTAACATCTGAGGCCCCTTCTACACTGCCATATAAAATCCAGATTATCTGATGGATTATATGGCAGTGTAGACTCATATAATTCAGTTCAAAACAGATAATGTGGCTTATCTACATTAATAATCTATCTTGTGTGGCGGTGTAGAGGGGGACTGTGTGGTAGCCAGTATTATCTATGCTTGTAAACTAATCACTTTTCTGGACCATTTTCTCTAATGTCTGTGGCTGCTGGGAGTTGCAATCCAGCTACCTTTTAAGGGCTGCTTAAATCCTATTCTTGCTTAATCATAATCTGGCAATACAGAACACTATCAGCATTTAAGAATAATGTGGTGAGAGAGAAACTATTATCTTTCTAACTCTGTAATTGTTTTAAAACTTAATCTTCTTTCAAAAGTTCCACTTGTTTTCTTTTCTTGTTGCATGTCCAGCTTCTGATAAAAGGGAAGAAGCTAACACACTCACCAGTAGCCATTGTGTAAATGTATTAGCCAAAGGTAAAACAAATGTTTATTTTAGTATGCAGAGTGACAATGAAATAAACATCTCCCCATTTGGACAGCTGATTAGCTGAAAAATGTAACCTAACGTAGTCTATAACAATGAAAGCAGGGGATGATGTTATTAGAATATAAGCCAACTTTAAGTGTAGCTCCACTCCACCAATGCAGCTCTTTTAAGTTGGCAAGCAATCCGCCGGACCCAAGCCAAGATTTGGGGGTCTGCTTGGTCTCCAGACAGGTCATTAAAACTCATTAGCTTTACAAAAACCTTGCTCCTGGCAGAGGATGAAAACTGTCAGAGCTGGTTTGTTTGTATGGACTCTGCCTCTGTAAACTCTCCCCTGGGCTCTATCAGAATGGGAACTTAACCATCCAAACTGAACAGGACACTAGATTTCTATCCAAGTGAGAATACTGCCATATGAGCCAGATTATCAAATCATACAATCCACATTATCTGCTTTGAACTGGATTATATGAGTCTACACTGCCATATAATCCAGTTCAAAGCAGATAATCTGGATTTTATATGGCAGTAGAAGGAGCCAAAGCCTTTTCATTCAGCAACTCCATTCACAAACCTTTGCAATGTCCTTGGGAAGAGTAGCTTCCACTGGGAGCGACTTGTCTCCAGGAAAAATGGTTTCCTCTTCCTCAGAATCACAATTGGCACTTGTTATTCTTCAGATCAACAATAATTCCATAGTTTAAAAGTCAGGCTGCTCTCAAGGCTTGCGAAGCATATATGGAGGAGGCATCCTTGGCCAAAGATTGAGGAAATAGATGTATCCTTGGGTGATTACATGGTGTGAGAGGGAAAGAGTTTGTATTTTGACTTCAGTGGATCTGAAATGCCTCCACAGGCTGCTGATGGGGCTGATGTGTTTATGTATATGTATAAAAAGCATTCCCTTACATTGCAGTTGTATGCCAGATCTGCCCGAAGCAACTTCTCAACAGACAAATCGGAAATGCTAAAGCAGAAAGGGGAGGGGGGAAGAGAGAGAAAGGAAAAGCTTTTAAAAAGCCACTAGTTTATTACAAAAACATTGACAGGCCCTTAAATTATCGCAGTGCTCCTGGGCACTGGTACAATGCCTATTTTCCTGTGCATTTCAAAGGGAGGAATGGAGCAGACCTGTCTCCCCTGGAGCTCATTATTAAGATGTATTCTCAGGTGACTGTAGACAGGGTGAGTGTGCCTGGATCCAAATTACCATCTGAAGAAGGAAGGAAGGAAGGAAGGAAGGAAGGAAGGAAGGAAGGAAGGAAGGAAGGAAGGAAGGAAGGAAGGAAGGAAGGAAGTCTTTTGGGCTGCGGATTGGTTTCAGGGTTCATCTATGTACCCATATCATGCTTCTGGTCCTTTCTGGCCCCTTCTACACCGCCATATAAAATCCTGATTATCTGCTTTGATCTGAATTATATGGCTTTGTAGATACATATAATCCAGTTCAATGTGGATGATCTGTTTTGATAATCTGGATGATATGGCAGTGTAGAAGGGGCCTCAAGACCCTTCCACACAGCCATATAACCCAGAATATCAAGGCAGGAAACCCCACATTATCTGCTTTGAACTGGGATATATGGCAGTGTGGACTCAGATCACCCAGGGCCCTTCCACACAGCCCTAGATCCCAGAATATCAAAGCAGAAAATCCCACATTATCTGAGTGTGGAGTAAGGGCCTGTCCACACAACCCTATATTCCAGAATATCAAGGCAGAAAATCCCACAATATCTGCTTGTGGGATTTTCTTCCTTGATATTCTGGAATATAGGGCTGTGTTCAAAGCAGATATTGTGGGATTTCCTGCCTTGATATTTGGCTGTGGGGAAGGGCCCTCAGTCCTTTAAACTGTGAATGTGAAAGGATTGCATCCAAGGTTCTTGCAATATCAGTGGGGGTGAGGTGGGGAAATGGGTTGAGTTCTCTGCACTGCATTGGGCTGGATTATAGGGGTCTGCCATGCAATCCAGTTCAATGCAGTTGAACTACATGATGAGTCAGCCATACAACACAACTCAATGCAGTTAATCTGTGTTTTGAAACTGCATTATATGGCAGTATCATTGGCCCCTTTGGTAGTGAGACCTCTACCTCTGAGGATGCTTGCCATAGATGCAGGCGAAACGTCAGAAGAAAAATTGCCTCCAGAACATGGCCATATAGCCCGGAAAAACCTACAACAACCCAATAATAAATGTTATTTGTTACCCGCCTCTCCTAATGAGAGGAATAAACTTTCTGCTTATTGTAGGATCTCCAACAAGAGCAGTGGTCCTCAATCTGTGGGTTTCCAGGTGTTTTGGCCTACAACTCCCATAAATCCGAGCCAGTTTACCAGCTGTTAGGATTTCTGGGAGTTGAAGGCCAAAACATCTGAGGACCCACAGATTGAGAACCACTGGGCCCCATTTTATAACTCAATGCTGTGGGGATCCTGGGAGCATGGATTCAACCCAGTAAAACCTAACCTGGGCCTCCTGCTGCTGGTGGTGGTGGTCAATTTCGTTCGTCTTCCTTCTCTGACAGAATAGCTCTTTTCCAGGCCTCAAACTTACCTCACATCTCTCACCTAAAGTTGGGTTTTGAAGCCGTGCATCCCGCCTCAGAGGTGAACAAAGAGAAGAGGCCTCAGTGCCATATATCCCAGTTCAAAACAGATAATGTGAGATTTTATTCAGCTGTGTGGAAGGGGCCTATATTGCCACACGTCATCCCACAGGCCGGTAACATTGAGCCCCGCCTCTGTTTTGGTGCTTCGAGGGGAGTGGGAGGAGCTACGGCAGACGTTGGCCCCGCCCCTTCTCCCCTCTCCTCAGAGCCCGCCTCGCGCCTCACAGGGGCCGCTTCAAGCCTAAGAAGCCGGGTGTGAAAAGGGGGCGGGGGCTGCTTCAAGCAATGAAAGGAAACAAGTCGCACGCGCTCCAGGGCCCGCCTCGCGCCTCACAGTGGCCGCTTGAAACCTAAGAAGCCGGGTGTGAAAAGGGGGCGGGGCCTGCTTTAAACGATGCAAGGAAACAAGCCGCACGCGCTCCAGGGCGCTCGCGCTCTTCCCTCCCGCCGTTGTGTGCCATTACAACCAAGCACAGGCCCCCTGATGCTCATCAAAGGCTTCCTTTTGTGGGCGTTTGAGCCCGCTTGGGGCGCTCTCCCTCCTCCCTCCCCCCGCGCGGGAAGGACCACTCTGAGGCGGGCTGTCATCCGTGGGGTTTTTATTGTCGGGGATTTGGGGGGGGAGGGGGGAGGAGAGAGGCGGGAGGCCTTGCTTTACAGTTCAACAGGTGCCTGCCGCCTCCAGGGCTGGGACTATCCGCTTTACACTTTCTCTCTGCGTCTCTTCCCGCCTCGTATGCAAATACATGACGCGAGCCCCCTCCCCCCGCCCTTCAAAACAAAAAAAGTCAGGGGGAAAAAGCTTGGCGGGGCTCGGAATCCCCGAATCCAGAGGGGTCGCGAGGCGCTCTATGTACACGAGGATGCCCACGAGGCATGGGGGGGGGGGCTCTCCAGAGACCCAAGGGAGAGCCCCGAGGAGGAGTGAGCGTCTCTCCATCCCAAGCATCTCCTTCTGAGCCGCTCCAAGTCCCGAGGGGCGAATAAATAGCGGTCCAGGCGCGTTGCTTCTGTCCGAGAGCGGGGAAAGGAGGGGAGGGGGTTTGGCGTTGGCACGCGGCGGGGTGGGGGGCACGTATGTATATAGGTCGCTCTTCCCCTGCGATCACAGGACCTGGAAGCGCCAGGAAGCCTGGTCCTTGTAGTCGAGGCAGTCCGCAGAGCTGAAGTTGAGCTTCCAGGGCGAGTGGGCGGCGGCGGGGGGTCCCGGGGCGGCGGCGGGGCTCTCCTTGGCGTAGTCCAGGCAGTCGGGGGTGGCCGGGCCGGCGTTGAAGGCTAGCGCGGAGCCCCCGTAAGCGCCGGGGGGCTGGTGATGGTGATGGTGGTGATGATGGTGGTGGTGGCTGGAGGCCTGGCCCAAGGCTGGGTGGTGGGCGTGCGGGTGGTGGGGGGCGCCATGCGGGGCCAGCGGGGCGGGCGCCATGGGGCCCAGCTGCGGGTGGTGGGCGTGCATGGGCAGGTAGGAGCCGCACTCCACGCCCCCGAAGTAGGAGGAGGCGGAAGCGGCGGCGGGGGGCGGCGGAGGAGGGGGCGCCGCTGGGTAGCCCTGCCCGTAGCCGCCCCCGCCGCCGCCCCCTCCGCCGGCGCCGCCCCCCGCGCCCTGCCCGTACGGCATCGGGTAGGCCGCCGCCGAGAGCGAGCGCTGCATGCAGGAGGCGCCGCCGGGGGCGAGGGGCTCGGGCATGGCGCCGCCGGGAGAGATAGAGGCCGGGCTCCAGATGGAGGAGGACGAAGGCGCGCTGCTGCTGCTCAGCGGCGCCGCCGAGGACGAGGACGACGAGGATGAGCCGGGCGCCCCCGCCGAGGAGGAGGACGACGAGGACGAAGACGAGGAAGAGGCCGAGGAGGAGGAGGCGGCCGCCGGAGGGGTGAACTGCCCGCTGCTCTCGGAGCCAGAGCTCTCCCGCGCCGGGGAGGACTTCTTCTTGGCCGGGCGGCTCTTGGCCCCGCCGCCGCCTCCCCCGGCCCCGGCCCCGCTCTGCTGTTGCTGCTGCTGCTGCCGGCACTTGGCCCTCCGGTTCTTGAACCAGACCTAAAGCGGGAGAGAGGAGCAAGCGGGCCCGGTCAGTCCTGCCAGAGGGAAGAAGGGAGGCACCCACCAAGCAAAGCCACCAAGAACATCCAACCAATGCTACCTTCAGCAAAGGACAAGAGGGATCCTCTCACCTCTGCAGAAATCTACATAGGGACCACCAAACGTCAATCAAGGAACAGGAAAGGCACTGAAGACTAACTCAACTTGAGAAGTCCACCATAGCAGGTAGAAGCCCCCAGTAGTACAATGGGTTAACCCTGGCATGGGCAAACTTGGGCCCTCCCTCCAGGTGTTTTGGACTTCAACTCCCACCATTCCTAACAGCCGGTAGGCTAGCCGGTAGGCTGTTAGGAATGGTGGGAGTTGAAGTCCAAAACACCTGGAGGGAGGGCCCAAGTTTGCCCATGCCTGGGTTAAACCCTTGCACCACAGATATGTCAGCGGTTGGAATCTGGGGAGAGCAGGTTGAGCTCCCGTCCGTCAGCTCCAGCTTTAACATGAGAGAAGCCTCCCTGTGTCAGCTCCAGCTCCCCATGGAGCCTTCGACAAGGATGGTTAAACATCAAACATCCAGGCATCCCCTGGACAACGTCCTTGCAGACGACCAATTCTCTCTCACACCAGAAACAACCTGCAGTTTCTCAAGTCTCTCCTGGCACACAAAAAGCACCTGATGAACCAATCTGGACACAGCATATGAAATGCTGGACCACCATGTCAGACTACACAGAAAAGCCATTTAAATCCAAAAGCATATAGACAATTTCAACAGAAAGGAAGAAAATTAAAATGAACCAAATCTGGCTACCAGTATTTTAAAAAAACTCCAAAATCAGGGCTGTAAATACAGGGAAGATCAAAGTGATCAATTTAAACATTCACACTTGTCTCATGTGGACAATTTCAACAGAAAAGAAGAAACCATAAAAATGAACCAAATCTGGCTACCAGTATTTAAAAAAAACTCCAAAATCAGGGTAGTAAATACAGGGAAAATCCAACCAAGAAACAATCAGGGCCAGCAAACACCTGCCAACAAAGGATTCCCCCAGCCCAGGCAGGAAGCAGCCAGCTTTGAAGCTGCAAGGCTATTTATTCAGTCATCCCACAACCTGGTAACATTGAGTCCCGCCTTAAATTGATCAGTGTGATCAATTTAAACATTCACACTTGTCTCATGTGGACAAGTGAAAACCTCCAAAATCAGTGCAGTAAATACAGGGGAATTCCAGCCAAGAAACAATCAAGGCCAACAAATGATTCCCCCAGCCCAGGCAGGAATCAACCAGCTTTGAAGCTGCAAGGCTATTCAATGCTAATCAAAGTGATTAATTTAAACATTCACACTTATCTCATGTGGACAATTTCAACAGAGAGGAAGAAACCGTGAAAATGAACAAAATTTGGCTACCAGTATTCTAAAAAACTCCAAAATCAGGGCTGTAAATACAGGGGAAATCCAGCCAAGAAACAATCAGGGCCAGCTAACACCTGCCAACAAAGGATTCCCCCAGCCCAGGCAGGAAGCAATCAGATTTGAAGCCGCAAGGCTATTCAGTGCTAATCGAAATGATCAATTTAAACATTCACACTTGTCTCATGTGGACAATTTAAAAACTCCAAAATCAGGGCAGAAAATAAAGGGGAATTCCAGCCAAGAAACAATCAGAGGCAGCTAACACCTTCCAACAAAGGATTCTCCCAGGCAGGAAGCAACCAGCTTTGAAGCTGCAAGGCTATTCAAGGTGGCCAATTTAAACATTCACACTTGTCTCCAAGAGAGAAGAGTTCTTTCTCCCACCCTGGGGATTATAAAGCCAGCTTGCCTAGTGTCCAACAGACCTCGCAATCTTTGAGGATGCCTGCCAAAGATGTGGGCAAAATGTCAGGAGAAAATGCTTCTGGAACATGGCCAAACAGCCCGGAAAACTCATAGCAATCCAGTCAGTCCACTATTTCCGGGCTGTATGGTCGTGCAGTAGCAGAATTTTCTCCTGATGCTTGGCCTGCATCTGTGGCTGGCATTTTCAGAGGATCTGAAGGAGAAAATACTGCTCCAAGACTGCCATCAGGCCTTCATAAATTACAAAGCACTCCAGTGATTCCAGTCTGAAAACCTTCGACAGTTACATCTTCAGCCCATTTCTTCCCAGATCCTGGACTAAGCCCTCCTCCTCACAGGCAGGAGAAAGACTCCAGCTCAGGGGCGAGGCGTCCGCATCCTCCCCTTTGCTCAGGTGGCCCTTAGGGGGTCGGACTGCCCCCCCTCGAAACACACACACACATCGCGATAAAGCCCTGCCAACCCCTCCCCTCGCCCAGGCCAAGCAAGGGAGAGCAGGGCTGCCCTCCATCACATCTCTAGGTATATCCTCTCCTCCCTAAATAAACCACCCTCCTCTAGAAACCAACACCCAAAGCACCCCGCTTTCCGCGCAAGCGAATGCCCTCCCTCTACATCCACTCTCCATTGAAAGCTGTCTCCCAACTCCTTTTAACGGCCAGTCCTAAGTTATTGAGGGCGAGGGGGTTGGAGTATGTATGACTCTTTGCTCGACCATTGGGTGACCTTGGACAGGTCGATGGCTCTGATCCTCGGGGGGAGGCCAAGGCCAACCTTCCTGGAGAAATCTTGCCTGATAGAGTCGCCTTAAAAAGTCATCACAACTACAGTAGCCTAAACGACAACGCGCTTGACGCTCCTTCCCTCAGTCACAGGCCAGAGAAGGCAGCTGGTCTCAGCCCTCCTCGACAATACACCTCCGACTACCCCCCCCCCCCAAAAAGCGAGGCTGGAGGCAGGCAAGACACCCCGCAAGACACCTATTTATCTCCCCTGTGGAAGGCGTTAGGAAAGAAGTTCTCAGTCCGTTGCTTTCGATGCTGAACCCAGTACTCACTCCCCTAAGCATCCCTACTCATTATCGAGGGGTTACTTGTTAGCACCCTAAGAGAGCAGGGGTCCCCAAACTAAGACCCTAGATACGACCCTCCAAGGTCATTTACCCAGGCCCTCGCACAGGGTCAACCTAAGTCTGAAACTACTTGAAAGCACACAACAACAACAATCCTATCTCACCAGCCAAAAGCAGGTACAGACTTCCCATTGTAATACTAATAAGTTTATATTTGTTAAAATTGTTCTTCATTTTAATTATTGTATTGTTTTAAAGGGTTTTTTTGCACTACAAATAAGATATGTGCAGTGTACATAGGAATTCATTCTTCTTCTTTTTTCACATTGTAATCCGGCCCTCCAAGAGTTTGAGGGACTGTCACCTGGCCCTCTGTTTAAAAAGTTTAGGAACCCCTGTAATAGAGCCTGCTGTTTGAGAGTGGAGGGGTGGCAACACCTTCATTTTCTAGGGGTTTCCTTTGAAGAAGGAATTGAACTTTGTTAGATTCCCCGCCAATGCTCTCAGGGCCTTTCAGGCACTTCTCTCAAGTCTCTTTCCTTTACCCCAAATTCAAATGGGAAGCCCTTCCCCTGTGCCATTCAGCTGCATCCATCCATTCAGGGATCCCAGCAGAGCCTCGTCTAGTAAAGATTTCCCCTTGACACTTAGTCAGAGTCCGACTCTGGGGGGTGGTGTTTATCTCCATTTCTAAGCAGAAGAGCAGGCGTTGCGGTAGACACCTCCAAGACCATATGGCCGGCATTACTGCATGGAGCAGTATCTGTTGATCTACTCAAATTTGCATGTTTTTGAACTGCTAAGTTGGTAGAAACTGGGGCTAACAACCGGCACTCACTCTGCTCCCGGAGTCAAAACACACTTGCATGTTTTTTGAACTGCTACGTTGGCAGAAGCCGGGGCTAATAGCCGGAGCTCACCCTGCTCCAGGATTCAAACTACACTTGCATGTTTTTTGAACTGCTAGGTTGGCAGAAGCTGGGACTCACCCTGCTCCCAGATTCAAACCACACTTGCGTGTTTTTTTAACTGCTAGGTTGGCAGAAGCTGGGGCTAACAGGCGGAGCTCACCCTGCTCCCGGAGTCAAAACACACTTGCATGTTTTTTGAACTGCTAGGTTGGCAGAAGCCGGGGCTAATAGCCGGAGCTCACCCTGCTCCAGGATTCAAACTACACTTGCATGTTTTTTGAACTGCTAGGTTGGCAGAAGCTGGGGCTAACAGCCGGAGCTCACTCTGCTCCCGGATTCAAAACACACTTGCATGTTTTTTGAACGGCAAAGTTGGCAGAAGTTGGGGGTAACAGCCTGAGCTCACCCTGCTCCCGGATTCAAAACACACTTGCATGGTTTTTGAACTGCTAGGTTGGCAGAAGCTGGGGCTAACAGCTGGAGCTCACCCTGCTCCCGGATTCAAACCGCCAACCTTTCAGTCAGCAAGTTCAGCAGCTCAGCACTTTAACCCTGCTGTGTCACCAAGACTCTTGGGCCTCATCTACATTGACCATTTAATGCAGTTTCAAACTTGGCATTGAAGCAAGTGATTTCACTGCACAGATGATTGCATAGGAAATCTTGGGAGCAGTGTGAGGCCTCCATAGTGATTACTCAAACTACAGGGCTTTCTTTCAGGCACTCGCAGTTTGAAGCCTGGTTGGAGCTGCATGAAATGGTCAGTGTAGATGGGGATCTGCCATGCGAAGGCTTGGCAGAGCAAAACACCTGAGCCCCGGCCATTCTGGTCCATCCTTTATTGCCTTGAATGCCAAGAACTGAATCTCTTTTCCAAGCCAAAGCCCTCAGAAACCCTTTTGCTCCTGGGGGAGGCCTCCACCTGAAACCCAGGAGGGTGGGACTCAAAGAAACTTCCACTCAGCTTGGCAGGGCATCATCGCCTGATACAATTCCTCACGAGCACATTCGTTGTATTGATTGATACATTTAGAGGGGAAGGAAAACCCCAAGAAATTTACTGGAGGGGGGAAAAAATAAAGAAATCTAAAGGACATCAAAACACAACATATTCTCGTTATGAAAACAGTTGAAATTAGGGGGGAAATCGCACCCTTTTCTTTACAAAAATACAAAAAACAGCGGTTCCTTTCTCTCTAGCAAAGTCACACCGCCAGTGGCGCAGTGGGTTAAACCCCTGTGCAGGCAGGACTGAAGACCCGACAGGTCGCAGGTTCGAATCCGGGGAGAGTGCGGATGAGCTCCCTCTGACAGCTCCAGCTCCTCATATTATTATTATTATTAATAATAATAATAATAATAATAATAATAATAAAAAAACTTTATTTATACCCTGCCACCATCTCTCCAAGGGGACTCGAGGCGGCTTACATGAGGCCAAGCCCAACAACACATCAGTAAAAACAACAAAGCAGTAAGCAAATAAAATAATACAATTAATATAACTCACATATAAATAATGCGGGGACATGGGAGAACCCTCCCACAAGGATGATAAAACATCAAAACATCCCTGGGCAACGTCCTTAGCGGCCAATTCTCTCACACCAGAAGTGACTTGCAGTTTCTCAAGTCACTCCTCACAGGACCAAAAAAAAAATCCGCAATCCGCACAGCCCTCTGTTGAGCACTCTGCTCCATTGAAGAGGGCAACAGCTTGCCCTTCCAAGTCAGTGTCATGTTCAGCACCACCCACACTGTATCATGTCACCTGTGGCCTGACAAGTGTGACAAACACCATAGTTAAACCACACCAAGCATGCTCCACACCTCTCCTTTCACCCCCCCCCCCATCTCCTCTGAAGGGTACCCTAAACTCAGAGTCCCCAAGCTCAAGGGCAGCACAAATGCGGGACAGAAGAACAGGCTACAGACTTCCTCCCATCTGCACGAAACACTGCAGACGAAACCGCTTCGCAACAGGTGGATGAGGCTCTTAGACCCACTCCAGGTGCAGTGAAGGCAAAGCGTGGCAATTGTATCTAACACACCGCTCTCTTTCTTTTTTCTTTGCCGCATGCACTTGCGACCAATACATGAAACACTCCGATTCCCAGGTGGGGTCGAATCTCTTCCTTTTCCCTCCGAAGGAGAAAACACCCCAGGCCTTGCAAGGGCCTTCAAAGAGGGGGAAGGCGCAAAGCCAGGCAATCCACCAGCCGAAGTGTGGCTGTGCTTTCATGGCAAGGCGGCTCTTCAACGCCCGACTAAAGGAGCTGCTTTGGTGCCTGTCCAGTCACTCCGCCCCAGGCCTCCGCGGGAGAGGCCAGGAGGTCTCCCCCCCCCCCCCAACTTCCACCTCTCTTTCCCTCTCTCGGTGGCCTCATCCCAACCCTCTCTGTCTCCAATGATTCCCTCTGGGTTCATTCCAGGACAGCAGGTCCTGGACAAAGTGTCAGGTTAAGCCGGGCCTACTTTCTATCAGGTATGCCTTGGGAGAAAGAGAGGACCCCCCCCCCCCTTTGCTGCCTTGGAGCGTCACATCAAGTCACAGGGCAACACACATTTTGGTGCCTTGCACACGAGAGAAGCCTCCCACAGGATGGTAAAACATCAAAACATCCAGGTGTCCTCTGGGCAACGTCCCTGCAGACCGCCAATTCTCTCACAGCAAAAGCGACTTGCAGTTTCTCGATTAAAAAAACCCCAAAACGGCAACGATTTCCTCTCATCAGTTATAGTTTTTGAGACACACAACATATGCCATCTACCAGTCGCCATTTTTGAGACACACAACATATGCCATCTACCAGCGGCCATCTGCTCTCTGCTCGCCCATAGAAAACCATATAGAATCATAGAGTTGGAAGAGACCTCATGGCCCATCCAGTCCAACCCCCTCCCAAGAAGCAGGAAAATCGCATTCAAAGCACCCCCGACAGATGGCCATCCAGCCTCTGTTTAAAACAGTGGTTCTCAACCTGGGGTCCCCAGATGGTTTTGGCCTACAACTCCCAGAAATCCCAGCCAGTTTACCAGAAAATGGCTGTGTTACGGATTCACAACAAAACAAAGTTCCTCTGAATCAGCACCCCCACAGAACAGGCATCAAACCCAAAAGAACAAGGAGGAAATGGCTGTGTTCTGGATCCACAACAAAACAAAGTTCCTCTGAATCAGCACCCCACTAAACAGGCATCAAACCCAAAAGAACAAGGAGGAAATGGCTGTGTTATGCATTCACGACAAAACAAAGTTCCTCTGGCCGCCTCTGGTGCCGCCCTCCTGCCTCTGCAGGAACAGCCACACTGGCAACCCTCCTTGCCTATCCACACAGTCCACACTGAGCTCAGGCAGGGATCCTGCACAGGCCAAAACCGGTCACATTCCAAATAACACTCTTTAACACGATTTTGATCCTGGGTTATAAATGTCATTTCCTAATCAGTTCTATCATTTAACCCCCCCCCCCCAATAAACTTTTTCCATACAGCCCGAAAAACTCACAACTTGGGTTGCTGTGAGTTTTTCGGGCTGTATAGAAAAAAGTTTATTAAACTGCAAAAAAAATCCCTTTTGTTTTTTGCAGGACATCACTTTTTGCTATATTTTCAATGACTATCTCATCCAGTCTCAATCAATTCAACATACGTGTTGTTGAAGGCTTGACTTTGAGAGTAGTTGTTCTTACCCCAGAAACTGAGTTTTTTTAAGGTTTTTTTTTTTTAATTGTGTGTGTGGATGGCACAAACTATGTTCAATTGCTGGGTGTGTTGTGAGTTTTTCCGGCCTGAGCGGCCATGTTCCAGGAAAGAATGCTAGTGGAACACGGCCCTACAGTCCGAAAAACTCACAGCACACCCAGCATTTCAACATAGTTTGTGCCAGCCACAAAAAACAAACAAACAGACAAAAAAAACCCCTCGGTTTCTGGAGTAAGAACAACTACTTTCAAAGTCAAGTCCTGCACAATTAAACAAGGAATAACACTTTTAAACCAGGAACAGATTTTATTTTTCGAATTTGGTGAGATAGTTTAATCAACTGAGGCTAAAGACCTCACAACCTCCGAGGATGCTTGCTACAGATGCAGGCGAAACGTCAGGAGAGAATGCTTCTAGAACATGGCCATTTAGCCCGGAAAAACCTACAACAACGCAGTGATTCCAGCCATGGAAGCCTTCAACAATACAACTGAGGCTAAACTTTGAGAAGGGAGCTCTTAGGCTCCTAGGCCCACTCCAGGAGCAGTCAACAAGGGACAGATTCAAAGCTTGACAACTGGGAGAAGCTTCACAGGATGATCCTGGACAGGGATTGGGGGGGGGGGGGGGCGGCACATGCACACACACACACACACACACACGGAAACTATAGCTCTCTCTCTCTCTATAAATAATTTATATGTATATAATAATATATGTATCTATATATATATTCACACACACACACATACACACACACACACACTATAAATAATATATATATATATATATATATATATATATATATATATATATACACACACACACACACACACAACACACACACACACACACACATATATATATATATATATACACACACACACACACACAATATAGGGAAAATCTTTACCTTTACTTTTTTACTCCCTCTCTCTATATATACATACATACATACATTATATATATATATGCACTCTCTATATAAATATATACAATATACATACACACACTATATATGGGCACTCTTTACCTATAAATATATACAATATCTACCTATTTATATACACAATATATGCAATATATATATATACACTATAGATTTACACTCTCTATATATGCATATATACAATATATATACATAATATACATACTACATACTGCTTAAAAGCCTTCAAAGGAACCTCCACCACAGTTCATTTTCCTCCTGCTTATATATATATGAATATATTTCATATATATATATATATATATATATATATATATATAATATTATATATAATAATATATTATATGATTATATATATATATACACACACACACACAATGATTGATATATATATATATATATCAATCATTGTGTGTGTGTGTGTGTGTATATCTATATCTATATCTATATATAATATAAAGATAAAGATATATTTATATATAACACACACACACACACACGCCGTTCAGGAAGTCAACAAGAAGCCAATTTAGTAGAAACTAGTCCCTGAAAGTCAGGCACCCAGCATGTCGGATTTGGGGATAAAGGGCTCAGGCGGGAGTGGGTCCGTTGCTGTTGCGTCGAAGGGGCCATTAAGACGCCCGCCCTCTCTCCCCAAAACCGGGGACCCCTTACCACCCCCCCCCTGTGCCTCCCCCGCCCCTTCCCAAGCCTCCGGACCTGGACTCTGGACTCAAAACCCCCAAAGATAGACACCAAAGTCACATTCCGGCTCTTTTTGCGCCAGACTCTGCGTGACCCTTGACGGGCCACCCAGCGCCCCTCGAGGCCTATGAGCGCCCAACATACAATAACGACCCGACAAACCAAGTATGTCTAAAGCCTCGGCCAACGGTATCTATCGCCGACGGTACTATCTTGGCGAAGAGCGCCTCCAGGACGTCCAGCTGGGAGCGAGTGAAGGTGGTGCGCTCCCGGCGCTGCTTCCGGGGGGCGGCTAAGGACCCAACGGAGGAAGAGAGAAAGGGAAACTTTCAGGGCCAGGCTGCCTCCCTCCTTCCGCAACCAGGGAAGGTTCGGGAGACCCTCCCCGAAGGGACTTGCAAACAGGGGACACCAACACTCTAATCCACCCCAAACTAAGGTCTAAGATAAGACCCTGCAAGACTATTTCCCTGGCCTTAAACTTTTAGACTTGCAGTCACCCTAAGTCTGAAACGACTCTAATCCACCCCAAACTAAGGTCTAAGATAAGACCCTGCAAGACTATTTCCCTGGCCTTAAACTTTTAGACTTGCAGTCACCCTAAGTCTGAAACGACATGAAGGCACACAGAAACAACAATCCTAATTAACTTGACTGTCCCACCAGCCAAAACTTCCCATTGAAAAACTGGTCACCTTATGTTGGTTGAAGTTATGCTTCATTTTTTAAAAAATCAATTTTTGGGAACTACTTCCACACAGCTGAATAAAATCTCACATTATGTGCTTTGATCTAGGATATATGGCAATGTGGACTCAGGAAAGCAGATATTGTAGGATTTTCTGCCTTGATATTCCGGGTTATATGGCTGCGTGGAAGGGCCCTGAGTCCACACTGCCATATATCCCTGCTGAAAACATATACTATGGGATCTTCTGCCTTGCAAATATTCTGGTTATATTATGGCTGTGTGGAAGAACCTGAGTCCACACTCCCATATATTCCAATTCAAAGCAGATATTGTGGGATTTCCTGCCTTGATATTCTGGGTTATATGGCTGTGTGGAAGGGCCTGGAGTCCACACTGCCATATATTCCAGTTCAAAGCAGTTATTATGGGATTTCTTGCCTTGATATTCTGAGTTATATGGCTGTGTGGAAGGCCCTTCCAGAAAGACCCATATTCCAGTTCAAAGCAGATATTGTGGGATTTTTCTACGTTGATATTCTGGGTTATATGGCTGTGAGGAAGGGCCCTGAGATATGCACAGTTTACATAGGAATTCGTTCCCCCCCCCCCAAACTTTACCCCCCCAACTTTACTCCCCCTCCCCCCAGATCCATGAAGCCGCCCTCAGCTTTAAAAGTTTGAGGACCCCCATAAGATTCCTACTAGAACTAGGACGCCAGGCAAAAATACTAGCAAAATCACTCCCAAATGAGGCCCCTTCCACACTGCCATATAACCCAGGATATCAAGGCAGAAAATCCTACAATATTATCTGCTTTGAACTGGTTATCTGAGTCCAAACTGCCATATATTCCAGTTCAAAGCAGATATTGTGGGATTTTATTCAGCTGTGTGGAAAGGCCCTGAGATTTGTACGGGGGGGGGGGGGGGTAGCCAACCCAAAAAGTCCTAACAAAATCACTCCAATTAGATTCTTACTAAGAACGGCAGACCGCCCAAAACATACTAACAAAAGTACTCCGGACTATTCCTTCCTGGACAAAAGAAAACACTGAGAAAAAATAAAAATAAAACAATGTGTTCCAGGTCGGGGACTTTAAAGCTGGACGCCGAAACTATGGCCCCTTCCACATTGTTCCAAAATCCCAGGATCCGGTCCCAGATTATGTGTAACCCAGTCTAAAGCAGATTATCAGGGATCACATCCAGGGATATAAGAACAGTGTGGAAGGCGCCTGTGTTGTTCTCCAAACATATCTCAGAAAGGCATGTTAGTATAATGCAAATTAGAACACTATGTAACACCATTTTTGTCCCTGGGTTGATCAATATCATTTCCTAGGCCCCTTCCACACAGCTGAATAAAATCCCACAGTTCTGTTTTGAATTGGATTATATGGCAGTGTGGACTCAGATAACCCAGTTCAAAATAGATATTGTGGGATTTTTTGCCTTGATATTCTGGGTTATAGGGCTGCGTGGAAAGACTGGATTATCTGAGTCCACACTTCCATATAACCCAATTCAAAGCAGATATTGTGGGATTTTCTGCCTTAATATTCTGGGTTATATGGCTGCATGGAAGGGCCCTGGATTATCTGAGTCTACACTGCTATATAAACAATTCAAAGCAAATATTGTGGAATTTTCTGCCTTGCTATTCTGGGTTATATGGCTGCATGGAAAGGTCCTGAGTTATCCGAGTCCACACTGCCATATAACCCAATTCAAAGCAGATATTGTGGGATTTTCTGTCTTAACATTCAGGGTTATATGGCTGTGTGGAAGGGCCCTGGGTTATCCGAGTCTAAACTGCCATATAACCCGGTTCAAAGCAGATCTTGTGGGATTATATGGCTGAATGGAAAGGCCCTGAATTATCTGAGTCCACACTGCCATATAACCCAATTTAAAGCAATTATTGTAGGATTTTCTTCCTTGATATAGGGCTGTGTGGAAGGACCCTGGATTATCTGAGTCCACGCTGCCATATAACCCAATTCAAAGCAGATATTGTGGGATTATATGGCTGCATGGAAGGGCCTTGAGTTATCTGAGTCTACACTGCCATATAACCCAATTCAAAGCAAATATTGTAGGATTTTCTGCCTTTATGATATTCTGGGTTATATGGCTGCGTGGAAGGGCCCCTAATTGATTCTATAATTTGCAAAAACTTTGTCTTTGTGGGACATCCTGCAGCACATTTTGGTATAGTTTCAGAATGAGCACCTTAACCAATTCAACCTAGTTTGTGGCAGCTACAAAGTTTCTGGAGTAGAACAACTCCTTCCAAAGTAAGCACCGCAACAATTGAACAGGAAACAACACTTTCAAAATTTGGTTACATAGTGTAATATTTTTTTTGAAAAAATAAAAATAAAGGAAAGCTGTTCGGGAGAGGAAATTTCGTGGTTGCAATGTATTATATTCCATGATTCATTTTTTGCAAGGGACTGGAATAGGAAGGGAATGGCTCCTTGAGAAGCCTGTTGGGGAGCCTCTAGGCCTCACCCGGGTACCCCACGGAGGGGTGGAGGAGGTCCATGGCGGGCCCGGCCAGCCCCAGCCCGTTCATGCCGTAGGGGGGCTGTTTGAGGTAAGACATCATGCTAACGGCGGGGAGGAGGTCGCCCAGGAAGCCCAACGCGAGGCCCGGGCCGGACGCCGTCGTCGTTTTCGCCGCCTCCGCTGCTCCTGCTGCTGCTGCCCTCTCAGGTGGCGGCTCCTCCGCCGAAAGGGCCCCCGGGAGCCAGTCCCTCAGCGCGGCCTGCCTGCGAAGCAAGGGAGAGGCGTCAGGGGTGGGCGGAAAGGCCTACTACTACTACGCGAGGAGGCGCGAGGGACAGACAGGCCTCTCTCATACTTCGCGGTGGGCGCGAGGACAAGAAACAACTGGAGGCCTCAAAAGCGCGCGAAAAGGGAAGCCCTTCACGCGCCTCGGAGGCCCGGATGTGGAGGGCGCGAGACCGCTCCGTCTATTACAGGCCTGGGCAAACTTCGGCCGTCGAGGTGTTTTGGACTTCAACTCCCACAATTCCTAACAGCCTGCTCTAGAAGAAATGCCATCCGATCCAATGCAGAGACTATTTAGTGAAGTTTCCAAAAGCGGGCCTTGAAGTCTACTCTTACCATCACTTTGAACTGCGTTTGATTATCGCCTTCGAATGTGAAAGCCCAAGACATTTAATTCAATGCAGTTTGGAAACTAGGATCAAAGAATCCTAAAGTTGGAAAAGACCTCGTAGGCCATCCAGTCCAATCCCCTGCCAAGAAGCAGAAAAATCGCATTCAAAGCACCCCCGACAGATGGCCATCCAGCCTCTGTTTAAGAGCCTCCAAAGCAGGAGCCTCCACAGTTCAGTTCCGTTTGCTCCTGCATATATAAGATATATTTCTAATATATCTCTCTTATATGTAACTTATATATATATATATATGTGTGTGTGTGTTATATATATCTTTATATATATATCATATATATATATATATATATATATATATATATAATATTATATAGATAGATAGATAAAGATATATATAACATATATATAAGTTATATATGAGAGATATATAAGAAATATATATAAGTTATATATAATAGAAAGATATATATATGATATAAAGTAAATATAAAATATATAATATACATACATATTATATAAAACATATATATTATATATTATATATAATATATATAATATGTATTTTATATTATATATAGAGAGAGATTATATTTTATATTATATATACTATATATATATATAAATTTATATAAATATATAAGATATATAAATATTTATATAAACATCTTAGATAGATATAAGAAATATATAAGGTCTATTTATATTATATATATGATAGAAAGATATATTATATGATATATAAAGATATAATTCAATGCAGTTTGGTAATTGGGATCATCGAATCATAGAGTTGGAGGAGACCTTGCAGGCCATCCAGTCCAACTCCATTCGGCCAAGAAACAGGAAAATCGCATTCAAAGCACCCTCAACAGATGGCCATCCAGCCTTTGCTTAAAAGCCTCAAAAAAGGAGCCTCCACCACAGTTCAGTTTCCTCCTGCTTATATATGAGCATGATATATATATATATATATAGATAGATAGATAGATAGATAGATATATAGATATAGATAGATAGGTAGCATATATAATTTATATATATAAGATACATATAATATAAAGAGATATATATTATTTGATATAAAGATAAAGATATATAGATGTGTGTGTGTAAGAAATATATATATATATATAACATATGTGTAAGATAGATATATATATGGATATAAATATATAAGAAATATATATAAGAAATATATGATAGATTTATAAAAGATATATAAGATATATACATATAAGAATATATATATTATGATATATATTATGATATATATAACATATACAATGTATGTTATATATATATATATATAATCTCTCTCTCTCTCTCTCTCTATATATATATATATATATATATTGATCTCTCTCTCTCTCTCTCTCTCTATATATATATATATATATATGGGAAATATATAAAAGAGATACACACACACACACACACATATACAGAGGGCCATTGATAATGAAGTTTCAAGGCGGCCTTCCTTGAAAGTATTGGGTCCCGTGTCTCAAAGAAGGCCGCTTGAAGCGCATTAGATCCGTCTCTGTACAGACTGAGCCCGGCCTTCCTTCAACTGTTTATAGATTTTTCTCAAAAGCAGGAGCAAACTCCATTTGAAGGCGTCAAACCGATCTCATAATTTCCCAAAGTCTTGTCCTCGCGTCTCTTCTTAAAGGGCAGTTTTGGGAAAACACACATCCACACAACCAACATGGCGGCTTTCTAGGGAAACTAGAAGTGTTAAGAAGGGAGTCAAGGAGGGAAGGGGGGGGGGGGGGTTAAGGAATGGGGTGATTCTTCCTCCCTGTAAAGCCCTGGTGATGCTTCCCATACAATCGCCGAGGGGTTTCTCGGAGGGACAATGCGGGCTGCTGAGGGAGGGAGATAGGGCCATTATTTTAAAAAGATAATTGGATTAGAAATCAAAACGAGATTCCAAAAAGAAAGAGAGAGAGAGAGAGGAGAGAGAGAGTAATTAATTGAAAAAGGGGACAGAAGGGCAATTAGAAACCGCGAGTGGCTTAAAAACAAAACGGGGTGCTTTGAAATCCATAGAGATCCCGACGAAGGAGGAGGAAGTTTGGGTCCAGATTTGGTGCGATTATTAGGAAACTCACTCGTGTCGCTGCGGGTTTTAGTGCGGCGAAAGGAAAAGGCGCATCCAGCTCCTTAAGGGCGGCGAACAAGCGACAGCATTGGCTTTTCCTGGAGAGAGGGAAGAAAGGGAGGAAGGAAAGAAGGGGAGACACAAGAAGAAGGACACAGATCGCATTATATTGTATTATAAACCCTATCAAGTCGCTCCTGACACGGGGGGAAAAAATAATCCTTGACTAGGAAGGGAAAGTCGTGCCTAAAACGACGCCAACATCCCCAGAAACTGCGGAAAGAAGGGACAAAGGCCGCGTCCACACCGAATACTCAAAGCGCTTTCGAACTAGCCTTCTGCAGGAGTGGAAAGGTCCGATGCCGCGGGTGGAGGCTTTCTAGGAATGGGATTTATTGAGACAGGCAGCGGAGATGGAACCCCCAAAGAGTAGGAAAAGTGGGGTTTCAAGGAGGCGAGGGGACAAGAAAGTAGACCTGTTGCCGCCTTTCTCTTTCCCCAGAAGGAAGGAAGGAAGGAAGGAAGGAGGGAGGGAGGGATGTGCCTGGGGAAATGGCCCCGATCCGCCCTCTTCCACCCCGCGCCCCGCTTGGAAGTGCAATAATATGCTCAAGGCAGGCCCGTATTACGCACAATGTGGGTAATATGTGGCAAGGTAGGTCGGGAGCCACGGCGGAAGCACTTTCCCGGAAGCAGGGCCTTCCTTCCTCGTGTTGTCGTGGTTGGAACCACTGGGTTGCTGTGAGTTTTTCAGGTTGTATGGCCATTAACTCACAGCAGCCTTCTTTCCTTCCTTCCCTTCGCTCTTTCCTTCCTTCCCTCCTCCTTTTCTTCCTTCCTCTTTCCTTCTCTCCTTCCTTTCTCCCTTTCCTTCCTTCCTTCCTTCCTTCCTTCCTTCCTTCCTTCCTTCCTTCCTTTTCCTTCTTACCTTCCCTTTTGGCTTTCCTTCCTTCTCTTTCCTTCCTTCTTCCCTTCACTCTTTCCTACCTTCCCTCCTTGTCTTCCTTTCTACTTTCCTTCTCCCCTTCACTTCGCTCTTTAATTCCTTTTCTTCCTTCCTACTTTCCTTCCTTCTTACTTTTCTTCTTTCCTGCGTTCCTTCCTTCCTTCTTCCCTTCGCTTTTTCCTTCCTTCCCTCCTTTTCTTCCTTCCTCCTTCCCTTCGCTCTTTCCTTCTTTCCCTCCTCCTTTTCTTCCTTCCTACTTTCCTTCCTTCTTCCCTTCACTCTTTCCTACCTTCCCTCCTTGTCTTCCTTTCTACTTTCCTTCTCCCCTTCACTTCGCTCTTTAATTCCTTTTCTTCCTTCCTACTTTCCTTCCTTCTTACTTTTCTTCTTTCCTGCGTTCCTTCCTTCCTTCTTCCCTTCGCTTTTTCCTTCCTTCCCTCCTTTTCTTCCTTCCTCCTTCCCTTCGCTCTTTCCTTCTTTCCCTCCTCCTTTTCTTCCTTCCTACTTTCCTTCCTTCCTTCCTTCTCCGGCCTCGCGCTGTGCTTCCAGCAGGGCCGCAAAGCTAAAAGAGAGCGAGCGCGCGCGTGGGAGGGAGGAGGGCTCGAGCCTCCTGGGACCCCGTCCGTCCGTCCTTCTTTCCTTCCTTCCTTCCCTCCCTCCCTCTTTCCTTCCCTCTTTCCTTCCTATCCTTTTCCTTTCTTCCCTCTTTCTTTCCTTACCGCATCCTTTCCTTTCATTCCCTTCCCTCTTTTCTTTCCTCTTCCTTTCCTTTTTCTTTTCCTTCCTTTCCTTCCTCTTTCTTTTCTTCCTTTCCCTTTCCTTCCCTCTTACTTTCCCTCTTTCCTCCCTCCTTCTCCCTTTCTTTCTTTCTTTCCTTCCCTCTTTCTTTCCTTACTTCCTTCCGCCCGGACTCCCTCTCGCGCGCGCCCTTCCGCGCGCCTTTCCCCCCTCCGGACCCGACCGGAGAGAGAAAGTTTCAGGAAAGTTTCTATAGAAGGAGGAGGGGGGGGGGGTAGCTGGAGCAGGGAGATTGAAAGACAGAGAGAGAGAGGTCTCTCTGGGAGCCGCACCTCAAGCAACGGAGGGAGGGAAAAGTTGGCCTCCTCCGTGGCCGCCGCTCCGCCCGACGCCGCTACTCCCTTCCTCTTCCCCTTGCCCGGACTTCCTTCCCAGGAGAGGCTCGGACTCCTCCAAAGGGGAGGGGAGGGGGGAGTGAGGGAGGGGGGAAGGGGAGGGAGGGGGCAGAGGGGGGCGGGGAGGGAGGGGGGCGCCTCACCTGTCCGCGCGAGAGGGAGGGGGGCGCCCCGACCGGCCCCGCGCTGCCTCTCTCTTCCCACGGAAACACCTCGCTCGCTCGCTCGCTCTTCGGGTTCCCTCCAAGCCGCAGCCTCCCTTCGCCCGCCCAGCTGTTTAGCTGATAGGAAATGTCGCCCGGCGAAGATTGATCACCTTTCCCGGGCCCTCCCCGGGTATGTGAGCGCCGGGCGGAGGCGGGACCCGGGACGGCGCCAATGGGCGGGCGCGGGTACACCGAGCGACAGCCGCCGGGGCCAATAGCGGCGCGGGACGGGGCTCCCTCCTCCAGGCCACGCCCCACGCCCCGCCCACGCTCTCCGGCGGCGCCCTCGGGGCAGGTAGATCGGGGCAGAGCCGGGTTGGGGCCCCCAGAGGACATCCATGCGCTCCAAGGTCGGGGTCCCGCTTATGTTCCTGAGAAAGAAAGAGGACGGAGGGAAGGGCGGGCAAGGCTTCTGACTCCAAGAAAACTTTCATGAGGAGCGAAATAAGAGTAGGAACCAAACATTGACTGATCAGAAAGCAGGAGAGAGAGAGGCGGGTTCCTCCTCTTTATGGAAGCATCTTCCACATTGTAAACACTCACAAATCCGTGTCAGAGCCTCAACATGGAGCTCAGAAAAGGGGTCGGGACCCCCCGTTTCCCGTGTAGACACAACGAAGCAGACAGGACCAAGGCAGATAGGAGGATGATGATCCGTGTTTGATATCCTCAGGTTCTCTCTGCGAGGAAATCACCTGTGTGTGTATGTGTGTATGTATACTAGCCGTCCCCATCCACGCGTTGCTGTGGCCCAGTCTGTGTATACATATTTCCTGTGTGTATATATGCGTATATGTGTGTTTGCGTATATATATGTGGTTTTGCGCATGAGTTGTAATGTATTTTGTTCATTTTTGGACTTTTAAAGTCTCTTCTGTTGTGCTTTTAGTGTTTTTATGAGTTATGGTCACTCGTTGACCTGATGGGTGTATTGTGTCCAAATTTGGTGTCAATTCGTCCACTGGTTTTTGAGTTATGTTAATCCTACAAACGAACATTTATACACACATACACACAAAGGTGATTTCCTCGCATGCATATATATATATGTGTGGGGGGGGGGAGTTCGTTTGTGGGATTAACATGAGACACACACACACACACACCACTTGATTAAATTTCCATACATATATGTGTGTGTGTTTCTCTCTCTTTCACACACACAGACAAACCACTGGATTAAATTTCCATATATATGTGTGTGTGTGTGTCTCTCTCTCACACACAAACCACTGGATTAAATTTCCATATATATGTGTGTGTGTCTCTCTCTCACACACACACAAACCACTGGATTAAATTTCCATATATATGTGTGTGTCTCTCTCTCACACACACACACAAACCACTGGACTAAATTTCCATATATATATGTGTGTGTGTGTGTCTCACACACACACACAAACCACTGGATTAAATTTCCATATATGTGTGTGTGTGTGTGTGTGTGTCACACACACACACACAAACCACTGGATTGAATTTCCCCATAGATAGATAGATAGATAGATAGATAGATAGATAGATAGATAGATGTGTGTGTGTGTGTTTCTGTCTCTCTCACAGACATACACACACACACAAAGGTGATTTCCCCATATATATGTGTGTATGTTTGAGAGAGTGATCAGGGCTCCTTGGTCACGAAAAATTTGGGGAACAACAAAAGCTTGATGAACATTTTGGGGAACATTTTCTCTGCGGGGGGGGGGGGACAACTCTTCCACCAAAAGGAAAATAATTCTGTCTGTCCAGCCTTGTTATTGTTGTTGTTGTAAAGACTGACTTGTTTTCAGTCAATGTTTGGTTTCTGTACTTGTTTTATACACCTTTATACCAAGGGTCATCACACAAACCTTTCCTTCCTTTCCTCTTCCTTTCTTTTCTTTTCTTTTCTTTTCCTTTCCTTTTCTTTCCTTTTCCCTTTCCTTCCTTTCCTTCCTAGTCGGATTGATTACACTATTTTTAATTCCTGGGTTAATATGTCATTTTTTAATTGGTTCTATTATTCAAGACATGGAGAAAGTTTTATTCAATTGCAAAAAAAATCACATAAAAAAAAAACCATACCGCTCGAGTTTTTCAGTGACTATCTCAACCAATTCCGACCTCACTACCTCTGAGGATGCTTGCCATAGATGCAGGCGAAACGTCAGGAGAGAATGCTTCTAGAACATGGCCATATAGCCCGAAAAAACCTACAACAACCCAGTGATTCCGGCTATGAAAGCCTTCAACAATACCAAGTGTTGGTTTTGACCGAAAGACCTACAACATACTCAATTCCGACATAGTTTGTGGCAGCAAAACTGAAGTTTCTGGAGTAGAACAACTCCTTTCAAAGTAAGGAACGCACAAGTAAAGAAGAAATAATAATATCGAAACAGGAACATGTTTTTTTCCTGAAATGTTGTGACATATAGTATTTTTTCCTGCTGAAACTTTCCCCTCCGCTTTTTATTTTGAAATTGAAAAGAAAGGACGTTCGCAATAGTTTGTGTCCTTCATTCAAAATCAAACGGGTCGGAAGGCACTAGGTTGCGGTGCGTTTTCCGGTCTGTATGGGCATTTCTCAGTAGCATTCCCTCCTGACGTTTCGCCCACATCTAGAGCAGGCATCCTTCCTTTAGTTTACAAACACACTTCTGAATTGTGCCTCTTAAATCCTGCCTTTGAGTCTTGAGAGAACTACAGCTGTGAATTGATGGTCTCAAGTAGCAGTGGAATTTGAATTCGGAGAGTATCTATCAACATTTAATCCACTAGTGTCTTATCGAAGGCTTTCATGGCCAGAATCACTAGGTTGTGGTAGGTTTTTCAGGCTGTATGGCCATGTTCCAGAAGAGGCATTCTCTCCTGACCTTTCGCCTGCATCTATGGCAAGCATCCTCAGAGGTTGTGAGGTAGGAATTGAGATATTCCTACACAACCTCTGAGGATGCCTGCTATTACTTACTTACTTACTATACTTGCTATACTTACTTGCTATAGATGCAGGCGAAACGTCAGGAGAGAGTGCTTCTGGAACATGGCCATACAGTCCGAAAAACTCACTGCAACCCAGTGATTCCAGCCATGAAAGCCTTCGACAACAAATGTTTGTTTACTTCAAAATCAGCCCATGAGACTTAGAAATAGGTAGCAAAAAGTATGAGTAAAATGCGCTGGCATATTTTTCCCAGGCTGGCATCTACACTGTCTCAGACTTGAACTGGATTATATGAGTCTACCAGCAGTGTAGACATCTCACTCCTTTTCCCATCCGGGGTTTATTTTGAGCTTCTTTTCTAAGCTTAATGTATTGTCGAAGGCTTCCATGGCTGGAATCACTGGATTGTTGTAGTTTTTTTCGGGCTATATGGCCATGTTGTAGAAGCATTCTCTCCTGACGTTTCGCCTGCATCTATGGCAAGCATCCTCAGAGATTGTGAGACTTCTGAGGTTGATTAAACTATGTCACCAAATTCGAAAAATAAAATCTGTTCCTCGTTTGAATGTGTTATTTCCTGTGTAATTGTGCAGGACTTGATTTTGAAAGTAGTTGTTCTTACCCCAGAAACTTCGGGGTTTTTTTGTGGCTGGCACAAACTCACTACCTCTGACGATGCTTGCCACAGGTGCAGGCGAAACGTCAGGAGAGAATGCTTCTACGACATGGACATATAGCCTGGGGGGAAAAAATTACAACAACCCAGTGATTAAACAGGAAAGAACACATTCAAACTAGGAGCATATTTTATTTTTCGAATTTGGTGACATGGTTTAATCAACCTTAGAGGTCTCACAACCTCTGAGGATGCTTGCCATAGATGCAGGCGAAACGTCAGGAGAGAGTGCTTCTACAACATGGCCATATAGCCCGGGGGAAAAAACTACAACAACCCAGTGATTAAACAAAGAATACCACACTTTCAAACCAGGAACAGATTTTATTTTTCGAATTTGGTGACATAGTTTAATCAACTGAGGCTAAAGACCTCACAACCTCCGAGGATGCTTGCCACAGATGCAGGCGAAACGTCAGGAGAGAGTGCTTCTACAACATAGCCATATAGACGGGGGAAAAAAAACGTCAACAACCTTTTTCTAAGTTTGTTTATAAGTTTTGCTTCCTTCCAACAGGTCATTCCATCAAAGGATGTGAATCAGGATAGATAATAATAATAATAATAATAATAATAATAGAGGGGAGTTATCTCCAGATCGGCCTACGTCTAGATAATAATAATAATAATAATAATAATAATAATAATAATAATAATAATAGATGGGAGTTATCTCCAGATCGGCCTACGTCTAGATAATAATAATAATAATAATAATAATAATAATAATAATAATAATAGATGGGAGTTATCTCCAGATCGGCCTACGTCTAGATAATAATAATAATAATAATAATAATAATAGATGGGAGTTATCTCCAGATCGGCCTACGTCTAAATAATAATATTAATAATAATAATAATAATAGATGGGAATTATCTCCAGATCGGCCTACGTCTAGATAATAATAATAATAATAATAATAATAATAGATGGGAGTTATCTCCAGATCGGCCTACGTCTAGATAATAATAATAATAATAATAATAATAATAGATGGGAGTTATCTCCAGATCGGCCTACGTCTAGATAATAATAATAATAATAATAATAATAATAATAATAATAATAGATGGGAGTTATCTCCAGATCGGCCTACGTCTAGATAATAATAATAATAATAATAATAATAATAATAATAATAATAATAGATGGGAGTTATCTCCAGATCGGCCTACGTCTAGATAATAATAATAATAATAATAATAATAATAATAATAGATGGGAGTTATCTCCAGATCGGCCTACGTCTAGATAATAATAATAATAATAATAATAATAATAATAATAATAATAGATGGGAGTTATCTCCAGATCGGCCTACGTCTAGATAATAATAATAATAATAATAATAATAATAATAATAATAATAGATGGGAGTTATCTCCAGATCGGCCTACATTTAGATAATAATAATAATAATAATAGTAATAATAATAATAGATGGGAGTTATCTCCAGAGAGATACTTTGTAGCCTTTCCTATTTATTATTATTATTTTTTATCACCTGCCTCTGCTCACACAAAGGAGCGAGCGCCATATTTGAGGAGATCTGGTCCTTTTGGCTCATAAATATTAATAGGAGCTAATCCTCTCTCCAAAGTTTTAATAGAGGAAGAGAGAGAGAGAGAGGGAGAAGAAACTTGTCAACAGAGGGAAGAGAAGAAGGGGAGGAATGGTGGCCGCCTTTTCCCTCCAAAGCGAAGCCACTGGTTGCTCCCAGAACAAACGGGTGGAGGTCAAGCGAGGGACTGTCGGCCTCCTCGGCTTCAAAGCGGGATGCCTTTCTTTCTCCCTTTCCCCCCTTCTTTCTTTCTTTCTTTCTTTCTTTCTTTCTTTCTTTCTTTCCTTCCTTCCTTCCCCCTCCCCAGACACTTTCCTTTGCAACACGGTAACAGCACACTGTTTCTTTCAAGGATCCGGGAGCTCTTTGGCTTTGGCGGCGCTGCTTTTGAGGCTCGCCCCGAATCAACTCCTTCTTAATTGAAGTTGGGCCTGAAAGCGAGCTAATGTTCAAAGGGGGTCCGGCGAAATTGCATGGGGTAAGACCCCCCCACCCCCCAACCTCCTTAGCCTCCTCCTCCTCCTCTTTGGATCAAATGCGGGATTGGGGATTGTCGCAAGAGAGGGTTGACAAAAGTCAGCCACACGGGCCCTTCTGGGCGGAACAAAGCCGCCGCCGCCGCGCATTCATTCATTCATTCATTCCTTCCCAAGGCAGCAGAGGGAGGGGGCCACATTGGGGACACCCCCGCCTTCACACGGGAGGCCAGGACACGCGTCCGGGGCCGTCGGAAGGGCCGCACGATGGCCGGAGGAAGGCGAAGAAGGAAGGAAGGGCCTCTCTCTCTCTTGGTCTCTTCCTCTCTCTCTCTCTCTCTCTCTCCCCCCCCCCCCCCTTCTCCCCCTGTAATAAGAGTATTTGTCTAATCCCAAATTGCAGGCGAAATTTCCTTAACGCTCAGCCCATAAAACCCACGGATTAAGGGCAGGGAAGGGGGGCGCGGAGCAGAGGCAGGCAGAGAGCGAGGAGAGAGAGAGAGAGAGGGAGAGAGAGCCCGGAGAGGAGGGCAAGGGGAAGGAGGAGGAAGGGAAGAGAGATGGAAGGAGAGAAGAGAGAAGGAAGGAAAAAGAAGGAAAGAGAAGGAAGGAAAGATGAGAAACGGAAAGAGAAGAAAAACAGAAGGAGAGAGAAGAAAAACAGAAGGAAAGAGAAGAAAAACAGAAGGAAAGAGAAGAAAAACAGAAGGAAAGAGAAGAAAAACAGAAGGAAAGAGAAGGAGAGAGAAGAAAAACAGAAGGAAAGAGAAGAAAAACAGAAGGAAAGAGAAGAAAAACAGAAGGAAAGAGAAGGAAAGAGAAGGAGAGAGAAGAAAAACAGAAGGAAAGAGAAGAAACAGAAGAAAAGAGAAGGAAGGAAAGACTAAAACAGAAGGAAAGAGAAGAAAAACAGAAGGAAAGAGAAAGCAAGAAGGAAAGAGAAGAAAAGAAGGAAAGAGAAGGAAAGGGGAAAAACAGAAGGAAAGATGAAAAACAGAAGGAAAGAAGGAAAGAGAAGAAAAACAGAAGGAAAGAGAAGGAAAAAAGAAAAGAGAAGGAGAGAGATGAAAAACAGAAGGAAAGAAGGAAAGAAGAAAAACAGAAGGAAAGAGAAAGAAAGAAGGAAAGAGAAGGAAAGAAGAAAAACAGAAGGAAAAAGAAGGAAAGAGAAGGAAGGAAAGATGAAAAACAGAAGGAAAGAGAAGGAAAACAAGAAAAACAGAATGAAAGAGAAGAAAGAAAAGGAAAGAGAAGGAAGGAAAGATGAAAAAAAGAAGGAAACAGAAGAAAAACAAGAAAAACAGAAGGAAAGAGAAGGAAGAAAAGGAAAGAGGCAGGGAAAGAAGAAAAAGAGAAAGAAGAAAAAGAAAAAAAGAGGGGGAAGAAGAAGGAAAGAAAGAGAAAAGGAAGAAAAAGAGAAGGAAGGAAAGAAGAAGGAAGGAAGGTAAGAGAAGAAAAGCAGAAGGAGAGAGAAGGAAGAACAGGAAAGAGGAAGGAAGGGAAAAGTGAAAGGGAAGGAAGGAAAGAGAAGAAAAAAGAGAAAGGGAGAGAAGGAAGAAAAGAGGAGGAATGATGGAAAGGGAAGGAAAAAAAGAAGAAGGAAAGTTATTGGGAAGGAAGGAAGGAGAGGAGAAAAAAGGAAGTAAAACAGAAAGGGGGGGAGAAGGAAGAAAAGAGGGAAGGAAAGAGAAAGAGAAGGAAAGAGAGAAAGAAAGGAAAAAGAGGGGAGAGAAGGAAGAAATGAAAGAAAGAAGGAGAGGCGCAAGGAAAGAAAAAGAGAGGGGAAAGATGGGAAGCAAGGAAGGAAAGAGAAAAGGAAGGCAGGACCGACGGGGCGAGTGGCCAAGGGGGCTTCCGGAGGGAGGTCTGGGAGCAAGGCCCGGGGTCCCCAAGGAGTGGGGGGAAAGGGGGCTTGTTTCTCCTTTAAAGCTCTTGGACCAGGGCTTCTCAATCCCTCCCTCTTGGCGTTTCCGCCAGGGAGCCAGCGGCGGAAAGGTAAGTCGAAGGGGCTCGGGCCTGAGGGACGCCGAGTTGGGTGAGTGAGTGAGTGAGAGCGCGCGAAAGAGAGAGAACATACCGAGTGCAGCGCCCCCCCCCTCTTTCTGTGGAATGGTTTGTCCGAAGAGAGCCGCTCTCTGCCGCTTCAGGTGAGCACAAAACCAGAAAAGGGGGGGGGGGGGAGGGGGCTGCCTCAGGAGTAGCCCTTTACAAAAATAGTGCCTGGGTCGAGGGGAAGGGGCACAGGCTAGAAAAAGCCCTCTTTTGCTTTTGGGTGGAGGAGGGAGCCCCCTCTTCAACTCTCCTGCTTTCAAAAGTGTCTAAGCATCCTGTTTGTTTACTTGTTTGGGCATTTTCTTAGTGGAGGGGGGAGGTGGGAAGGAGGCAAGGCATTTCCTAGGAGGAGAAGGGAGCAAATGGGGCCAGAAAGGCAGGCCTTAGGGAGGGGGGGGAGGTGTATGATAATAAAATGCTTGCTTTCTCTTCCTTCCTTCCTTCCTTCCTTCCTTCCTTCCTTCCTTCTTCCTTCCTTCCTTCCCTTCCTTCCTTCCTTCCTTCCTTCCTTCCTTCCTTCCTTCCTTCCTTCATTCCTTCCTTCCTTCCTTCCTTCCTTCCTTCCTTCCTTCCTTCCTTCCTTTCCCCCTCCTTTTCTTTTTAACTAGGGACAAACCCAACTCTTCCCCAGTCTTGCTGTCCACTTTAACACTGGTGCTCTCTGCCTTCTTATATTTCAGTCTGGATGGGGCCTCCGAACTGGATTCAGGGGGGATTTCTCCCTTCTACAATTTTGTACTAAACTCTCCACCTGGTTTGAAATATATTTGACAAAACCCTTAAAGGTCAGTGGCTGAATCTTTGCATGAAGAGCCCACCTTTGAAGGGAAACTTTAGCAGAAGTAGTACACCATTCCTTCCAATACTCCTGGGACAGTGGACAGGAATGATGGGACTCAGAGCGGCTTACAAGTCATATGGACATAAAACATCCTATATTATTAGCATAGTATTAATACATCATTCATAATATTAGTGTTATGTAATATTACATTGTTGCTGGGGGATTCATTTGGGGGTTATTTTTTCATAGTCCTCCTTGTGACATTACTTTCCTGCCACCAAAGCCTTGAGAACAATATTTTTTTCCACAAAAATTAAATCGACTTGTTGACTTCCAGTGTTTTTCCTTCTCTGAAAATATTTTTCATGGATACTAAAAAAAGTTTAAATCCTGTATGGCCGGAATCACTGGGTTGTTGTAGTTTTTTTTTCAGGCTATATGTCCATGTTCTAGAGGCATTCTCTCCTGATGTTTCACCTGCATCTATGGCAAGCATTCTCAGAGGTAGTGAGGATGCATGCCATAGATGCAGGCGAAACGTCAGGAGAGAATGCCTCTAGAACATGGACATATAGCCCAAAAAAACCTACAACTCAGTCTCAATCCTCCCCCCTCCCCCAATAGGCTTAAGAGAATTGAAAGAATAGATAAATTTCACAGACTGCTTAAACACAGTCATATAACCCAGAATATCAAGGCCCCTTCCACACAGCTGAATAAAACTGGGATATATGACAATGTGGACTCAGATAACCCAGTTCAAAGCAGATACTGTGGAATGGGATGTTCTGCCTTGATATTCTGGGCTATATGGCTATGTGGAAGGGCCCTTAGAATACTCCGAGGGTACCTACACACAAGAAACAAAGTCCTACCATGGAACTGCAATATTCCCTTGCGAGGAAAACCAACTTGGACTGGAGGAGCAAGAGCAAATGATCCCCTCCCACCTTGGAAAGGTTTAGTAAGAGAGGCAGACGAGGAGAGTTATGGTAAGAAAGATCCAGCTTTATTGAAAATATGTACATAATTTGGTATTATAATAAATAAACACAACAGTTTCCACAAAAATGAGCAGGATTATCAGAGAAGGATATATTAACTGGCAAGTCTTTTTTTGCTTCTGTTGTTGCTGCAAAGAATGGCAAGACAGACAGGCCCCTGATGGATACAGAATAAATATTAACAGCGTTGTGGATCCAGAATGCAGAGGTCCAACAAAAGCGGCAAATAAATAATTAATGGACACATGGGATAACTTTGAAAGAAGATTTTTTTGTTGTGGCTGTAAACCGATCACACGGTGGGTCAGTAAGTCTTATCTTTACAATCACTTCTTCAGCTCACAAGGCTCTCGGGTTAAAAAGGGCAGCCCTCTGAACACAACGGAAAGCCTTAAAAGTTTATACGTACAGTAAGAGTAAAATTGCTGCTGAAAGAAAACATTGGTAGGTATAGCACGCTGTAATACTCAATGGTCTAAGCATGAGCTAACTATAAAATTGTAGGTAGCATATTAAATATTACACATGTCGGGACTACACAAAATAATTCAGAATGGTTTTTTCTCCCTCCTCTGCTCTGCAATGCTAGGATATTATACACAGGGTATATTTGCAAGTTCTTTCGACAAGGAACATTTGTCAGGTTATCCCCAGACAAGCAACCCTAGGCTTGTAGCGATACTTGGAAGCAAGCTGACTTGAAATCATTACATCTAAACCGGCAAGTAAGTCCCAGTGATAAGCTAGTTTGGAAGTAATATTGCTTCAATGGAAGGGGGAGAGATGGGGAAAGAAGGAAGAATCCGAAAACAATTCAGGTAAAAGCTGGTCTAGCCAACCGCTTCAACAGTTTCTGAAACATCATTCCTCTCGTCTGGTTGTCAAGATTTCCAACCTGAAAGGAGGATTAGACTATAAAACATGACACAAGGCTTGCCCAGTGGAAGCTGGTCACTGAAGGACACATTTCTCTTCTTTCTTGGCCATCTTTCCTTTGTTTTGCTCAAGAGTCCTTTCCAAATGCTCGTCTTCTTCTTCAGCTCTAAAGAAAGAAAGAAAGAAAGAAAAGAAAATAGACTTTTCTTAACAAAGTTCTTCATGCAGCAATGAAAAAGCTGTTGCACACCTTCCCGACCCCAAGGCAGCCCCACTGCAGAGATCAAGGAAAGCCATCTACTTGGACAGGTGACATTGCAACCAGAACCAGAATTTCTACACATTTAATTGCTTCACTTTTGGATTACAGGCCTTCCCTTTCAGAGTTTTCTTCGTGAGACAAAAACAAAGCTTGATTTCTGTTGGCTCAGATATCCAACTTACTGTTTTTCTTGGGCATCTAAATCTCGGACCAGCGCATCACGCTTATTCACAAGAATAACCAGTTCATCCAGCAAAAGCTGCTCCCGCCTCTTCTGGGCTTCGGTCTTTTGCCAGTCTGAAAAGAAAAAGACATTCAGAGCTCTGTGCCATGAAAGCGTAACCTGCGTAAGACTGAAACACATCGGGAGCCAGATCTCTGGGCTTCACAATGCGGCCCCTTCCTTTCTCAGGACCAATGAGGGCGGAAGGATGATTTCACATTCCTATGGATTTGTTTTAACTTTCAAGTAGCAAGGCGCATGTGACTCCTGGAGCACATGCCTTCAGGTTTCCTGTCCGATTTGTGTTGACCCCATGAATTTCACAGGATATTGTTTTAGGCAAGGAACATGCACAATCATTAGTTAACTGCTTGGTGAATCAGATCCAATCTTTTCCAGTAAGATAAATAAACAATCCTGTGAGATTTTGTGGATTGATTTCACATACTGTTCACACCCTAAACATTTCTGCAGAATTAAATACATTCCCAAATTTTTGTGTCTGGAAATGAGAAACATACCATGATTTCGGTGAATGTGCCCATTCCTTATTTTGGAATAATCAGGGCAACCCCTATTCCCTGATGATGTATATAAGGATTTTGTTTTTGAAAGGGGGAAAAAATGAAGATGTAAAAATACCACAGTGAAAAACACACACACGCACATATAGAGGTATATATATCTCTTCCCTAATTTCCCTATAAACCTCTTTTCCCCTCCAAAAGCCTATCTGTTGATAATTTTGTCTCTTGCTACTACATCTTAGCAGTCGGAAATGTCTCACACTGGGCACCAGATGTTTCAGAAGAACTTTAAAAATACTGATAATTAGCATTTTTCTTTGAGGCAAAAACACATCTGCTAGACAATGTTACACAGTCTCCTCAACAACAGTACAGATTCTTTGGTAGCTAATAGTTTGGTTTCCTGAAGGGTTTTGTTTTTATTTTGGGTGCCCATTTTTTTGCTCAGGTTTTTAATTTCTTGCTCCAAGGTGTAACAGGGGAAAACACCCACACACACACACACACAGCAACAGGCCATGCACACACTGATGAAACCTCAGCTCCTCTCCTGCTAATTCCACTGTCTGCCCCTTTAATAAGGGAAACCACGTCAGGGTTTCATTTGAAAAGGGCAGATTGAACATCGCAGCACTTCAAACTCCAAAACAACTGCTCTCCAGGCCAGACTGCCAGGGCCTGTACCTGTCAATCAACCACCAGTCTGCCCCGCCTCCCTCATTAGGAAGGTAAACAATGAAAAGCAGGAGAAGTAGATGATGAGGGAGATAGCAGAACAAATGAGAGGCAGGAGGGAAACAGGACACCCGCTTTAAAAGAAAAACCCCATCCGCTCCTGACTCATGTGGAGTCCTCTCCTCAATCCACTTTCCAAAAAAACACAGAGGAAAGGCAGTGCAAAGCTTTTGGATTTCTCTCTTCTCTCTCCATTGCCCTGGGCAATCATGTTAAAACTCAGATGGCTGGTGCTTATTCAGATAAACCGAACAATGCAGGCCAATGGTTACCATGTGAATCTTCACAAACCACACAAGAATGCGCTGGTTCAAATCCCCCTGACCCCCCTCCAAAGCCAAATTTATTCAAGGCAGCAAACTGCTCCAAAGCTTCATGAAAGCAAGTGGGGCGAGAGTGAGTTTGGTCTCCTATTTACACATTAAAAATTAGATGCAGGCTCACCTAACAAAGTTTAGACACAGCAGTAAAAAGTCAGGAATGCCTAATCCATTCTTTAAATTGCCTGAATAGTTAGTATATTGAGAAGACACAAACACACACATACCACTGAGAAAAGCAGAAAATAACCAAGGTGCACTAACAAGAAAGGACCCCAAATGATATTATTAGTTCACTTCAATAAACATTATTGATGATCTCACGGGTATTCACGACTTAACACTAAATTTGAGTGTTATTACACCTTCTTTAAATATTAAAACATGTTTCCTTAACCATACTGTGTCGAGTTTTTACATTTCAATGCATACATTTAAAGAATCAAAACATGACTAAGACAACTATCAGCTCTGAGTTAATTAAAGGCAATGCATATGACATAGTGCTTGAAATACATATTGTGGATTACGGGGAGGGGGGGGGTTCATTTTCAGGATTGCAACCCCAGTGTATTTTGTTTCAACAGCAACTCTTCTTAGATGGTAAATAATCACATAATTACTTAATGGGACCCATAACCAGGTGTGTGAAAGGCAATAGACTTTCTAGAGCAGTGGTTCTCAACCTGTGGGTCCCCAGATGTTTTGGCCTTCAACTTCCAAAAATCCTAATAGCTGGTAAACTGGCTGAGATTTATGGGAGTTGTAGGCCAAAACACCTGGGGACCCACAGGTTGAGAACCACTGATCTAAAGCATTTACTTTCTAGAGCAGGGCTCCTCAAACTTTTTAAACAGAGGGCCAGGTCACAGTCCCTCAAACTGTTGGAGGGCAGAGATTATAATTTGAAAAAAAACACGAATGAATTCCTATGCACACTGCACATATCTTATTTGTAGTGCAAAAACACTTAAAAACAATACAATAATTAAAACGAAGAACAATTTTAACAAATATAAACTTATTAGTATTTCAATGGGAAGTGTGGGCCTGCTTTTGGCTGATGAGATAGGATTGTTGGTGTTGTTGTATGCTTACTAGTCATTTAGGTTGACCCTGAGAGAAGGCCGAGTAAATGAACTTGGAGGGCCATATGCGGCCCACGGGCCTTAGTTTGAGGATCACTGTTCTAGAGAGTGAGCCACACTGAGCTCAGTAAAATTCCAAGTCAACACTATAACAAAAGTTAAGGATGTATTAGTCAAAAAGTTTGGTTGATGACTAGACCTGACTTTCCTGAACACTACTCATGACTCTTTAAACAGCATTTCACACATACACACAGAGTTTTCTATTTTTCTTTTCCTAATCAGGGCTGGCAGTTTCCATTGGTACTAGCCTAATTTATAATTATGTGTGGCTATCTGAATGCTGATAGATATACTGACTTCCATTTTCAAACTCCAAAAAGCAAGCATAGCCATCTAACCATCACTGTAAGTAGGTCTGTCAAACAACTTCACCTACAAATAATTTAAAGGAATCTGCAAATCTTAATGAATATTTTTGAAGAAACTTCTTAAATTCACAACCCTATTTTTTGTTATAGTCCAATCCTAAATGCATTTATATAGAAAGAAGTCTCAGTTTGGGATACCGATGTTATTTTTCCGAAGTTGGAAAGAAAGTTCAGAACTTTAGAAATCTATATAAATAAAAATGTAATGATTGTTTGTGGGATTAACATAACTCAAAAACCACTGGATGAATTGACACCAAATTTGGACACAATATACCTATCAGGCCAATGAGTGACCATCACTCATAAAAACACTGAAAAACACAGTGGAAGGGACTTAACAATCCAAAAATAAATAATAAATTAGAACGCATGTGCAAAATGACATATATAAACACAAACACACATATACACATATACACAAATATATACACACACATATATACACACAAAACACATACACAGGCTGGTTCACAGCAACACATGGCAGGGGATGGCTAGTAGAGATATAAAGGAAATAATGTCTCTACTCTTTTACTACAGTAATAGAATTGTCACTATTAGACAAGAGTCAAAGGGCGCTTCTAGACCGGCCCTATATCCCAGGATCTAATCCTAGGTTTTCTGCTTTAACCTGGATTATATGAATCCCCACTGCCAGATAATCTGGGATAAACAGAAAACCTGGGATCAAATTCTGGGATATACAGCCTGCCTGGAAGGGCCCTAAAAACCATGAAACTAGTTGTGTATTTGTTTAAATTAGTTTTATCTTCAGACAACCTCGTCTGCTCCCATACCACAAAGGAAACTACTTTAGAAAGTAGGAATAGTTTGTAAGATGCTTTTTAAAAGATTGGAAGAGAGGACATGAGAATTCCTTTGGGGATTTTAATAGTGCTGCCTGACAAATGTCTACTCAGGTGTAAGTCTCACTGAGTTCAATGGGGCTTGCTCCTAGGTAAGTGGGTATAGCCAATCATTTACATTTCTGGTATGCATTGAAGTGGCTTTTTTATTCTTGGCAATAATTACTCTCTTTTCAGATGTGTTGTCATGCTTATAGGGTGAACAAAAGCAAAACGTATTGAAATGATATAGTAATTCAGATGTAATAAAATAACTGTTACTCTGACCTTTTAAAACTTCAGATAATTCATTAGATGGACCAGACAATTCTTTGTGCTAACTAAAGGTCTGGGGATTGCTCTAAGTAAGTCCCTTTGAAATCAACAGGGTGACTCCGAAGTGCTTGTGCCTAAGGGTTACGTGTGTGTATATATTAATTTAAACGTAAGTACTTATGAATATACTTGTGCAATCTCTGGGAAAGAGCAGTTTTAATGACTTAAAATTCTGTACATTATAAACAATTTTCTGAAAAAAATGTGTGCCTTTATTTGTTAAAATATATACAGACTTTGGAACAAGAATGATAAATATTAGCAGAAAACTCCACAATGCAAATGCTCAAAGTTCTGTCGTTTCCCCCCCAAAAAATCCCTTCCGTCATGTCGCTATAAAATAAGCTTTGCACTTTTGATGAAAATTAATGCTAGTTTTGTAAAGAGCACATTGGGGGATTGCAGCCCGAGCCTTATCTCTGGTTCCAGTCAACTAGCAATCCTGAAAGAGTTTGCATCGCCATCAGAGGAGGCCATTTGATAGGATTCTACTGCTGAACCTAATCAATCTATGGAATACTGTGGCAGCGCCGTGTAACAAAGCTAAAATAGATTTACAAATGGGGTTTTAGGGGATAAGCTCCTCCACAGGATTACATATTGATTTTAAATATAAAAAGCTTATCATATAAACCATAACTACGAAAATAGTGAACCTATGCATAAATCCTTTTAAGAAGAGCACCACTTCAAACTTGAAGCCAAGAATGAATCAAGATGTACAAAATTCTAAAGATGATCCATTTCTTGGGCAGAGAAATGAACATACGCCCCTCCTAAGGTGTGCAAAACATGAACGTTATCTTCTCTAAGGAGGCATTACATTTGAACATGAGGGGCAATGCATGCAAGGAAATAACTGGTGTTAAAAGATCCTCAATACTCAGCTGGTGGCTCCTGTATAGGTGCACCATGTTTACATGAGACAACTTGATTTCTGCACTAGTAGCAAACCTTTTTTATGTTTCACAAATGCACATGAGGCATTAACAACCAGCTGGCTGTTTTCCGAAACCTTGCCATTCTTATTCACATAGTGTTGTTTTTTTGTTTTTTTACATTCCTCCCCAAAGGAAGGATAGCCTTAAACAAAGACCTGTTCCTTTTCTCCCATTTATTTGGTGAATATTTTCAACCAATCTGAAATGAGACATGAAAAGGAAGCGGATGTAACACGATTGTAGGAAGAAATGACTATAATGTCTGTGCTTCATTAATAAGATTGGCTTTTTCTTAAAGGTTTACTAAAAGATAAATTCTTGCACAAACCATCTTCGGTGTTTAAGAAGAGGAATATGCATTCACGGGAAACATCTACATTTGGACATGCATCTGATTATTACCTGCCGTTCTTAAAAGCAAAGCTATCTGTGACACTCCATGAAGTTTCCATGGATATCTGTACCATGGGGTGAAAATCCCATGGAAATATAGTCATGGGTATATAAATAAAGTCTTCCTTGCCATCTGTGTGACCACAGTAGTTCTGTGTTATAGTGCTGGATGAAAGATAAAAGCAATAATTTGAGCATTTCAAAGCCTTGGGTCAGTTGAGCACACCAACCGTTCCACAGTGCAATGTCACAAAGCATAGCGTATTGTTGGCACACAACATTATATTTATGTCGCAGATGGACAACCCAATGTGTATGCTGACAACTTCTAGGCTATTATTATGTTCAACGAGACAAAAATAAAGAGGCATCTAAGTGAGTCTTGGAGATAGAAGAAGAATGAAATAATCCAGTGGAGTAATTGGTCACCTTCAGGTACTTGTCCAATAGCACATTTTCCTCTGTTCTTCTCTCAAGATTCCCCACACCCCAAATCTGCTCTGTCCCCAAATCAGCGAAGAGAAGGGGAAAACCATCTCTTCCCTCTTCTGTGGATCCAAGAGAGGAGCTCATTAGATCCCATTCCAAATAAAACTGAAATGTTAAGGTGTGGAAGTCGTATACCTCCCAATTAACAGACTCAGAGGCTGACGTTATTGTTTCCAGTCATTGTAACAATGGCTACCATCAGGGCTGATCTCACAACCTCGGAGGATTCCTGCCATAGATGCAGGCGAAACATCAGGAGAGAATGCTTCTAGAACAGTGTTTCTCAACCTGGGGGTCGGGACCCCCAGAGGGGCCGTGAGGGGGTATCAGAGGGGTCACCAAAGACCATGAGAAAACATAGTATTTTCTGTTAGTCATGGGGGTTCTGTGTGGGAGGTTTGTCCCAATTCTATCGTTGGTGATGTTCAGAATGCTCTTTAAGTGAATTATAAATTCCTGCAACTACAACTTCCAAATGTCAAGATCTACTTTTCCCAAACTCCACCAGTGTTCACATTTGGGCATATTGAGTATCTGTGCCAAATTTGGTCCAGATCCATCATTGTTTGTGCTCTCTGGATGTAGGTGAACTACAACTCCCAAACTCAAGGTCTATACCTACCAAATCTTTCCAGTATTTTCTGTTGGTCATGGGAGTTCTGTGTGCCAAGTTTAATTCCATCGTTGGTGGAGTTCAGAATGCTCTTTGATTGTAGGTGAACTATAAATCCCAGCGACTACAACTCTCAAACGACAAAATCAATCAATCCCCCCCTAAACCCACCAGTATTCAAATGTGGGCGTATCAGGTATTTGTGCCAAATTTGGTCCAGTGAATGAAAATACATCCTGCATATCAGATATTTACATTATGATTCATAACAGTAGCAACATTACAGTTACAAAGTAGCAACAAAAATAATTTTATGGTTGGGGGTCACCGCAACACTAGGGACTGTATTAAGAGGTCGCGGCATTAGGAAGGTTTAGAAACACTGTTCTAGAACATGGCCATATAGCCTGAAAAACGTACAACAACCCAGTGATTCCAGCCACGAAAGCCTTCAACAATACAGGGTTGATTTTACCATATGGTAAAAGGATGACAGCCTCAGATGTTGTATTTTGGGATATTGTAAAAGGAATGCAGATTGTCAGCTATTTAGGAGGTGGATATTTTGCTTCTATCCCTCCTCGAAGAGGGGTGTGTGGCTTTTCTGACTGAAGTTGCTGGCCTTGAACACCAAGGAGCTGTATTGCACTATCCAACTTGACTGGGATGGACAGGTGTTGCCGAAAAAAGATGATAACAAACATAATGTTTCCTTTTGTTTTGTGTCCTCATTATTCCCAAAGATGTGATATACACAAATCTAACTCAGTGTGACTTCCTACATTTACTGAAGAAGAAGAAAGGTCTTTAAAAGGACACTTTCCTGAAGCCTAGACTCAACAATTTTAGTTCTTTTAAAGACTTTATGATTGTAGGTGTCAAATTCCTCCTTTGAAAGCAATGAATATGTTTAGGTTTAGGTTTTATTCAGGCCTCCAGTAGTTCTTGAGTTTGTCAAGAAACTACAAAGAAGTGGATTAGAAAGCTACCTGACACCCCTTGCCTCCCCCTCAAACCATGCTTTCAGTGATGTCTCTAAACTAATTAGAATTGATTTATTATGGATCAGGTACCTTATCAGGTGAAGAAAGAAATTACCATGGACAGTCAAAGGGTTAAGAGGTCAATACAGAATAGCAAAATCAATTTGCATTGATTAGACAAAAGGTCCATTTTACAGAGCCCAGAGGATTAACTTTTAAGCAAACATCTTTGAACCGTTAAAGACAGAATTTGTGGCTGAAAGGTAGAACTAAAACAGCTTTATTAAAAAAAAACTTGGCATATTTAAATAACAAAATAAGCTAAAGCAGTAGTTTAACCTATCTAGATGTTCACTTTTATTATAAATCACATGTTGGATTATTGTATAGTTATTTGAAAGCATTATGAAGAGGAGGCAATTGTTTAATTTATCCTCTGAGTCAATCTGTTCATGAGTTTTCATTCAGGTGAGGTGACTGGCTTCTTGGAAAACTACAGAGTATAAAGAATATATGTCCAAAGGATTGCACTAACCTTGTCATCCTGCCTGATGAAATATTTACTCAACATGATGATGAAATTTTTATAATGAGAGTGGATAAGGTTCATCTAACAAATGTTTAAGATGAAAAAAAAAAAACCCAATGAATTTCATACCGAGGGAAAACCAGTACTATTGAGTCAAAGCTAATATCGTTCTACCTTAAGAAAATGAACCAAAACGACCAGGGAATGAGTCCTCACTTTGCTTGAACAGTCTTTCTCATTTCAAGATCATTTTTAGAGTGACTTGAACTCTTGTTTACACAGGTTCCAAAGAAACTTGGTTTAGACATCACCACTTAGTTTTTCAGTTTTATCTAAAAAACAACAACACTCTTTCATGGGTGAAAATCATAACTTTTAAACAGTTTTCTTACCTTCAATGGCAAGCATCGCTCTTAGCTCTCTGTTCAGCAGTTCGTACCTCCTTTCTAGATCATGTTCTTTCTCTCTAGGCAAGTTGCAAAAGTTCATCAATATGTTAATTACTAAATCATTAAACACTTTAAAGGACCTTTAATTTACATTGATTTTGGGGACACAGAACTGACTTTTCACTTTAGGTTTTAAGCTACTCTAAACAAATGATACATTGGAACAAAGTTTGTCTTTAGGTGGATGTTGCCCATTTTTATGACGTGACCTGATTTTCATGCCCTGTCTCTGATTCTAGCACTGGAATCTCCAAAGTGATGCCAATGAGACCCAGATCTCTTGATTGTCCTAGAGATCGCCTTTTTCTCATAGAATTAGAAAAAGGAAAACAAATGTTATTCCTATTCTTACCTTACCAGCTTCCAGCCACTTAATTTTCTTTTCTTGAGAATATCCTTGGCATCATGTGTGCCCAGAGATATTATTAAAAAAACAAAAGTTTGGGAGGCATCTGGAATCAGTGTTTTGTTTTCTAGACCCACCATTCAAACTACCTTAAAAAAAAAACTAGACAGAAAGAAAACCGACTAAGCTGGCTGCAGTGGTGGGGTAGTTAGGACAGTGGAAACCTCTTGGGATGAGAGAGTGAGCAAGGAGCAGCTGGAAAGGAGAAATTGTTGGTTGCTCTGAATTTTGTATCAAAGATGCATGCTTTATGGATCAGAGTCAGCATAGATTTGTGTGCTTCTAGTGGAGGGAATATGTGAAGGGGACACTGATCAGAGCACTACCAAATATCCTTTTAGGAAATTGATGTTTTGTTGACACAAAATACAGGCTTTGTCTTTGATGACATGAAAGACAGGCTTTGGTAGCCCAGTCCCAAATTCTGCCTTGTATTTTTTGGGGGGGACTTCTAATCCCTTTTGGTGTGTGCACATAATTTGACACCTGCAAAGATCCGGACCTTAAGGTAAGGTCTGGATCTTTCCAGGTGTGGGCCCTGTGGGGTTGCCTCCCAGGACTGTTTCTGTAGTCCAGGGGGTAAATCCCCACAGCCATCCTGGTTCATCAGGAGGACACTCACCCGCTCAGGCCCTCCCATTTAATAATAAAAAAAAACCTACCCAAGGGGCCTGCTGAATGTGCAGGTCCCTCCAGAGAGTATTCCTGATGTGCAAAAATGATACATCAGGAGGTGGGGGAGGGAGGGATTTCTCTTCCCCTCCCCCCCACCTCATGACAAATCATTTTTGTGTGTCAGGAGAGGTCTCTGGAGGGGCTTTGTGTGAGTTTTGGATTGGAAACTGGGGGTCTGGAATCCATCCTGAGGGAAAGCCCGGGGTCGTGGGAGGGTGTGGGGATAGAAAGCTGGGAGGAACCCAGTTTCTCCCGGGTTTTGGGTCTATCAAAAAGGGCCCTTAGAACCATCCAAGTAGCATTGCCACCGCCAGAATTGTAGCCCCCAAAATTGCTATTTAAAGCTCTCATAAGAATCCATAGGGTGATAGGGTTTTTTAAAAAAATAGAAATAATACTAATAACATAGGTCATCACACAGCCAGCAAAGCTCCAAAATCTTAGAATTTATTCTAAAGAATTACGTTTAATTTTTCTCCAAAATAAACCTGAATGATTATGGGTAATCATCACTATATCTTGTCTGCACATTAGCACATTATAACCTACTACTGTAGAACTTAGAATACACTTGCATTAATGTTTATTTAGAGCACATGCAGGTGCATGCACACATAGGCTTGATTTGGTAATACTGCCTCACTTATCCTAAGATAAACCTCAATAATACTTGGAACTTAAATCTGTGTTGGGTTTCATCCTGGACTGCACAAGTCTCTTGTGTCATCAAGTTTCCAGATCTCAGTGAGTAGCTAGACCAGAGATAGGAATAGGCTGGAGGATTCCCCCCCCCCCCCATATTCCTATGCATGTTTCCCAAAAGGGCTTTGTCTTTACTCTTTCTCCTTGCCGCTGTCTCATCCCCAATTGYTGATGTAGCAATGGAATTCTGTGAGGGAACTGCCTTTTTAAAGGTATTTTTCTTGCCCTGGAATTGTCCATGCTGTCTCCACCATTTTCTAGTCTCTTCTGCTTTTCTTTCTACCTATGAGCATCCATATTTTGCCTCTCTCTAGGCAAAATGTAGCTGCATGAACTTTTTACCAATTTACCTCTTTAGAAGATGAGATTTAGTAAGCTCGTTAGCTCCAAGATCTTTTCTATCAAGAATGTATTTTTTTTTACTTCAATGAATATTTTTGAACCTAAAGTTCTGGCTTTGCAATCTTGATCCATCCTAAGATATAGAAGGCTATCCCAGTTTTGCCACATGTAAGTTTCTGCTGGTTATGAAGTTTACTCAGTGGCACTCTGTTATATTTGTGGTGGAATCATCCCAACTGAGGATTATTTTGAGCCTAACAGCTCAGATTCCCCAACAAGCTGCTTACTAATATGGCTGGTTGGGCTTTACTTTGAAACTGGTCTTGCTAAGGTTTGCCTTTGAAACCTGGCTTCCATCATGAAATGCAATCAACTCACTGTACAACACCCTGACTATTCAGTAGCTGGAAACAGTCTCCAGGTGTTTGGGAATTAGGTGCAAGGTGTCTTAGCATTCTGGTTTATTCTTCAAAAGCAGTGCTCTTTTAGGGTTAAATCATTGTCAAAAGAGAAGCTACTGCCAGGGAAAACTGGAGCAATTGTCCTAATATATTGGCCTTCCTTAAAGGTTAGTGTCAAAAGGACCAATTCACATAATGCTGTTCCATGGCCACTCACATTAGCCATTCCATTGATAAAACTTCTTTTTTCAACAGAATTAGGACTGAAGGTTCAACCCCCTCCCCAAGATCTCTGGTGAACCCCCAAAATGTGCCTGCAGGGCTGGGAAGCTCTACTGTGTAGAGTACAAAGATGAAGTTGGATTTAGGCATTTAATTCCTGAACATCTTACACAGGATCAGTGTCCGGTGGAATGTGTGCTTCAAAACAAAGAGTTCATTCTCTCTGACAAAGCTGTATGTCTTGCAGCTTTGTCAGCTGTATATTTTACAATCCCAATTAAATTTAGTCACTGCACAGGTTGGCCAAAGGTTTCTTTTTAACTAGGATAAACTGGCAGTTGTTCCAGATGCAATAGTTCAGCTTGGGAATTGTTCAGAAGAAGCATTGGGGCCAAGCATGGTTCCCATCTCTTTACCTGCTGTTCTAGTTGAGAACATAGTTTTGTTTTGCTTGTCCCCTATATCAAAATGATAAACCAGAATAAGCCTGTAACCCTGGAAAACTGTTGAGACTTAATAGTACAAAATCCTGTGTTGGATCAACAAATAGTGTCATTGGATATCAAGTAGTTTCTTGTGTAAAAAGATTGTATTGATTCAGGTAGTGACCACAGAGTTCCCTTTCTGACTTGGAGTTTGCTTATTTAATTTAATAGTGAAACTAAGAACAAATGCTTCGCGTGTGTTAATTCATCAGTTTGTTGCAACCCAGTTCTACATTAATCTGTCATGTTTAATTCAGAAAAAACATATTTAAATTCATATTAAATTATTTTTCTCATAAAATTTCTTTTTCTTCTTCTCATAAATCAAAGGATGTCTTTCTGGATACATTTTATCCAAAGGCATGCATTCTTAAATAATTTAAAAATGTTTTTAAACCAAGAACCACATAATTAAATTTGCAAAGAGTAAAGGAGGTAAGAGTCAAATTCATATTGGAATTTAAAAAGAGTGAATTCCTCAAGCCAGTTTAGGGAAGACCTAGCTGGTAGGCATCACTGTATGGATGGATCCAGCCTAAATCTCTCACAAAGAAAAAAGTATGAATCTCTTGATTAAGGTTGATTATGTACGAGTTAGCACCATTTGTTTTCATTCTCTCATTTTAAAATCAGCATATTACATTTACTGAATTATATGTTTCATCCATTCGTGTTTGCGATGCTGGAAAAACTAAGCTACTCCAAGAAACCACCAGTACCTCGCTCTCAGGAGGAAACAAAAAAAAGCAGAAAGGCTAAAGGATTTGTACATTATAACTGGCAATACTTACAGGAGGGAGAGTTGATTCATTCTTCTTATTAAGGCATTTTTCTTATTGACTAGCATGAACCATTCTTGCATCATAGCTTCTTCTTCTTCAGTGTTTCTTCCTGTTTAAAAAAGGGAATTTTTTAATGTATTAACACAAGATAGTGTAACCAAGTGATAAATCTGAATGGCCTCTGTTATAGATTTTCAACATGATGATGTCATGAAATATAGATATATGTTTTGAGATTTTAACCACAAATATTTAAATATTATATTTTGGGTCCCAAAATGGCCACATGAGAATAAAAGCTGTCTTAATTTCCTCATAGAAGAGTTCTAGAAGAGTCCTAAGAAATCTGCTCTGGAAGGGAGTGCATAGGGCTTCCAAGGCAGAGGGAAAGACAACACTCCCATGCATGGTCTAGAGGGTGAAAGTACAGACTGTTCAAAGTATTAAAAAGGCTATATATATATATATATCTCATATCTCCTACATTTTCTTTTTTTTCATTTTTATGTTTATATACCACCTTTGGAGAAACTCTTTAAAGACTTCCCAAGTCTGCCATGCTCCTAGGTATTCTGTCTCATTGATGAACAATGCTTACAGGTTAAAAAAGGTTCTTCCTGACATTTAGGCAGAATCTCTTTTCTTGTAATTTGAATTTACTGGTTTGTGTTCTTCCCTCTGGAGCAGCAAAAAAACCAACAAAAAAACAAAACCATGCTCCCTGTTCTTATATGGCCTGCCAAGAGACCACCTATTAAGTATCAGTTTATAAGAGCAGTGGTGAAATAGCTCATGGATGTGGCAGGGTCGACTAGTACCCTATTAAGCTCACCAATAATTATGGTGAGGTATATGTGCATGGGATTTTGTCTCAAGAGTGCAATTCCAATTGGGGCCACCGAGGCATGGAGTAATGGCTTTCCCACTACATCTCAAGCTATGCTGGCTTGCAGAAGAACAGAAGATATATGTGTGCGGAGACATATTTTTACCAGGTTTTTCAGGCTTGCATTTTATTTTCTGAAAGCAACGAGGGAAAACTACCTATGGCAACTCTAGTGTGGCTTGGCCCAGACATAATTTCAGAGGAACAAAGCTGCTATGGATACAGCAGTTCAACCTGCCACCAGAACACCCCATTTTGAGGACTTTTAGCCATCAGGAATGTGACTGGTGACAATTTTCTCCCCCCCCCCCCATGTAATCATTGGACAGGCAGAAGGTTCTCGAATAGGAAAAATTTCTTATCAGTGGAGCCCTTTTTCTAAGGGCGTCATATCTTAACACCTCCTCCTCCTCTTTATATTTATTTGTTTTCCACTTTTCTCCCAGGATAGGAACCCAAAGTGGCTCACAGCCAGGTAATAAAAGCATGCTAGTATTACAGTTCAAGACACTTTGAACACATTATGCCATCAGTACTTTTAGTAATGATGTAAATAAGAACAAAGACTAAAGATGAAGATAATAGCTTGCCTAACAACACCTAGAAAGTTGCAATGGGGACATCCTAGCTCATAGTCAGTCACTCCATTATAGCAAGACTGACCTGATTGGAACTCGGCAGTTAAACATCTGAAAGTCAAAGCTCCAAATGAAATTCACCAAAAACCCTTTTGTTTGAATGTAAATAAAAGTGGGAGGTATTCATGCAACAACTTGGAAGTCAAACAAAGTATAGGGAGAAAGTGGCAACGTTACGTTCTGCTCACTTTTCAAGTTTGCACAAAATTGAGGATGGTGAAAACCTTTGTTGAAACTGACTTTTACCTTTGTTGTTGTGTGCTTTCAAGTTCTTTTTGATTTATGGAGACCCTAAGGTGAAGCTCTCACAAGATTTTGTGGCCAAGTATGGATTTGAATTCTGTCTTCAGAGTTTTAGTTCAATGCTCAAACCACTATACCACACTGGCTCTCTTTTACCTTATACTATGCTTGCTTTCTTTTACATTAGCTATAACCAGTTTTTTAAAAATAAAATACTAGTGGTCCCCTGCCACGTGTTGCTGTGGCTCAGTCTGGTGATCTGGAAAATAAAGTAATTAGAAAGTGCTGGTTTCTAATATATGTAATGTCTTTCTGCTTGTGGCTCAACAGTATTTCTTGATGTTTCTTTGACAGTGTTGACGTAGAGATTGTCTAGTTTGCCTACTCTGGAACATGCAACATATAATTATCCATCTTTAGGAGTCCCTTTCAAATCTATAGTACTTTATGTGTGTGAATCATATATATCTATCTATATCTATGGCTGGATGGCTCTCTTTCAGGAGGGCTTTGATTATGTTTTCTTGCCCTGGAGAAGGGAGTTGGATTGAATGGCCTTAAGTATTTTTTGTTGGTCATGGGGGTTCTGTGTGGGAAGTTTGCCCCAGTTCTGTCATTCGTGGGGTTCAAATGCTCTTTGATTGAGGTGAACTGTGAATCCCAGTGACTCAAGGTCTATTTTCCGCAAGCTCCATCATTTGGGCATATTGAGTATTTGTGCCAAGTTTGGTCCAGGCCCATCATTGTTTGAGTCCTGAATGTAGGGGAACTACAACTCCAAAACTCAAGGTCAATGCCCACCAAATACTTGCAGTATTTTCTGTTGGTCATGGGAGTTTGCCAAGTTTGGTTCAATTCCATCATTGGTGGAGTTCAGAATGCTCTTTGATTGTAGGTGAACTATAAATCCCAGCAACTACAACTCCCAAATGACAAAATCATAATTTTTTGAGTGATGGTCACTCCTTGTGTTGTGAGACGTTTTGTTGCCAAATTTGGTGTGATTTCGTTCATTGGTTCTTTTGTTTTTAAGGAACTCATTATGCACACAGCATTTTTATATATATAGAAGAGCATTTTTATGAAGGCTCCATAGTTGTCTATGCTGGCATTCTTCTCTTCTAGAAGTGAAGTGTAGTTGAGTTGTATTAGTAAAGGATCCACGGTTTTAAGGCTCTGCAGCACTCAGTTTCTTTCTACCAATTTATAAGATGGTGGTGTGGTGGTGAACATGTGGAATGTACATATGGATGAATGCTGGCAATCCTAGCTGAAATTCTGTCAATACACTTTGCCCTACTTCTTGAACATACATTTGTCAATGCTGACAATCACATCTAATGAGACTATCAGTATTAACTGGTACATCTATAAGTTTGGGACATTACAAAATTCTTCTGGTTTGTCTGCAATACAGATTGCAGCTAACAAAGTATGAACAATTATGTGAGCTGAAGTAATGATAAGTATCCAGGATAAATCAGTCCTTCATTTGTGATAGCTATCATTCTCACGTTTAACACCTCACGTTTAACATCAATCCTGACAAGACAGAGGTCCTTCTGGTCGATCGTAAACCTGACTGGGGTATAGGGTGGCAGCCTGTGCTGGACAGGGTTACACTCCCCGAAGCCACAGGTCCGCAGTTTGGGAGTCCTCTTGGATTCATCGCTTACACTTGAGGCTCAGGCGTCGGCGGTGTCTGGGAGGGCTTTCGCACAATTGAGACTCGTGCGCCAACTGCGACCATACCTCGCGAAGGCTGATCTGGCTGGGCTGGTCCATGCCTTGGTCACCTCCAGATTGGACTACTGCAATGCGCTCTACGTGGGGCTGCCCTTGAAAACGGCTCGGAAGTTCCAACTGGTCCAACGGGCAGCGGCCAGGATGTTAACTGGGGCCCCTTACAGAGAGAGGTCAACCCTCCTGTTCAAGGAGCTCCACTGGCTGCCGTTTATTTTCCGTGCCCAATTTAAGGTGCAGGTGCTTACCTACAAAGCCCTGAATGGTTTGGGACCATCCTACCTGTGTGACCGCATCTCCGTTTATGAACCCACGCGTTCACTTCGGTCATCTGGAGAGGCCCTGCTCGTGATCCTGCCTGCGTCGCAAGCGCGTTTGGTGGGGACACGAGACAGGGCCTTTTCTGTGGTGGCCCCCCGATTCTGGAACACCCTCCCCAAAGATCTTAGACAGGTCCCTACACTGGCAGTCTTTAGAAAGAACTTGAAGACCTGGCTGTTCCGATGTGCCTTCCCAGAATAGAAAATCTCCAATACCAAGTCCCATAAGCACTTTATTAGAACTAAGACTGCCGCACACTGCACACTGCACTTGCCCTATAGCCTTATATACCACCTGTCACATCAGCACTTTTAATCCTGTACCCATTACTCTGGTCCGGCCCAGTTTTATTGTGTCTTAGTGTATTGTTTATTGCTTGTTGTTTATATTGCTTAATTGTTTTTAATTTGCCTTAGGTTTTGTATTGTTATATTGTGTGTTGAGGCCTTGGCCTTTGTAAGCCGCATCGAGTTCTTCGGGAGATGCTAGCGGGGTACAAATAAAGTTTAATAATAATAATAATAATAATAACAACATGAAAACAGAAAAGTGTAGCCAGTCATTTTCATAGCTATACATTTTTCTCAGGCATTCCTGTCCCCATGTTGTACAAAATTATATCTCCTGGTCATGAATGATCCATCTCTGAGGTGTTTTTGTTGCTATTGACCCCCCTTGGGCTCATTTCTCTAAATAACTCAGCATCTCATAAAGTTCTGATATTACAAAAATATTCCGATATTAGAAAACAAATATTTGAGCAAATTCAATGACCAAAGTTTCTCCCCCTTCTTTGGCTCCAATTCAAACATCTGGAGACAGAAAATAAAAATGAAACCTTTGGGTATGGTCGGTTAACCAATTCCCAATCCATGTAAGAATAGCATTGTCTAGCCAATGTTTTACTAGTTTCCATGTGATAGATGAGTCTCCTTTCCTCTAAAAAGAAGCCTATTATAACAAGTTTTTGTCTCTGTACTGTGGACAAAAAGTTATGAAAGGACCACAGAATTTCTTGAATGAATATTCTGTCACCTATGCCTGCTTTTGAATTCTAACCATGATTCAACTGTTGTTGGTCTACAACAGGACAAAAATGAGCTAGGTTGTTGTAGGTTTTTTCGGGCTATATGACCATGTTCTAGAGGCATTCTCTCCTGACGTTTTCGCCTGCATCTATGGCAAGCATCCTCAGAGGTACTGAGGTCTGTTGGACTCTGAGGATGCTTGCCATAGATGCAGACGAAACGTCAGGAGAGAATGCCTCTAGAACATGGT